TTGGGATGATTGTTGATAATGTTTGCACCACTTACAATTAGAATTGGGCATTTATATGTTAATGAGAGTGGAGCGGCGGTGCAGCGGTTAGCACACCACGCTAGGAATCTGGCCATCGTTTCCTGGTTAAATATAGGCCATCACAATAAAAAAAATGACAACAGCGTCGAGTGTTCCAATGTTAATACAGGGTCCCAGGTCTCAATTTCTAAACAGCTAGTGGAATCCCATCACGCTGAATTGTCACCTTTCGAACGACACCTGTTACAGTATAATATCAGTCACCAGACGCTCTCGACGCAGTGAGAGTAACTCTCTGGACAGGGAAAGTCCAACATCTATATTTATAACTGGCTTCTCTTGCACTCTCCCAAAATAATCCATGAAAGGTCGCAAGCGTTGGCATTTAAATAGGTAAAACAAGGTTAACTTACAGCCCTGATACTGCCTGCGCTTGCCACTGCTGGCGTTAGGGCCCCCACATATATGCAGCTCTAAACTCTCTAGTGAAGCCCCTCGAGATGGTATTTGGCCTACTCTTCCAAGCTGGCCAGACGTCTTGTTAAGAGGTTGAGAGTACCCACACTTCACCCCACCACGCGCGACCTGGATGACCAACTGTGGTCTACCCATGTTTTTACTGCTGCGTGCACAGAGGCGATGGGATTTAAGGAAACGCGCCCATTGTTTTCAAACGGCCGCGCCGGGTGATCGAATCGAATCGAAATTGCAGGTCCAGTTGCGGCTGTCCGTTACCGCAACGGGCAGCAACCTAACGCTGAACCCGAGTGTGTTTTGAAAATGGACTCGTGTCGAAGCCACTGAAGGTTGCAGCGGCAATGCTCTTGAATAACCTCCTTCACGCTGGGCGCGCGTGTGATGCGAGCGCATCACTCGAGTTGCCGCAGGGCGGTGGTGTCAACAAGTCAATTTGAAACCCGAAAGTGCCACCTTTGGATGGGAAGTCCAGTTGTAACATCGGTCACGTAGAAATATCAGTGGATAAAAAAATAAAATAAAATAAACACTAATGTAGACTGTAGCCTGGTTCTTAATCGGAGTGCGTGCACTGGCAGTCTATAATGTAGACTGTAGCCTGGTTATTAAGTTCGGTGAGTGTACTGGCAGTCTATATTGTAGACTGTAGCAATGGTTATTAATGCTACAGTCTAGTTATTATGCTACAGTCTACATTATAGATTGCCAGTACACTGACCAAACTTAACCAGGCTACAGCCTACATTATAGACTGCCAGTACACTCACTCCGATTAAGAACCAGGCTACAGTCTATATTCCTGGGTTTTTTTCACTTTATTTTTTATTTATTTTTATCCACGTGACTTTACCCGAAAGAACCAAAGAATATTAATTCCTGCAGTCACGAAAGTTTTTAAGTCGAAATAGAAATATCAGCTTCAGTTTTCAGGTTCATCTACTGCCCCCAGTGGCGAAACGACATTATCAGCTCAAGGGATGCGGCAATCGGTCAGGTGGGGCCTCAACACTGTTCAAAACATATCTCATGCTGGTTGCCAAGGAAGCCTCAACTAGTAGCTTTGGCCACCAGGGAGGTGGGGGCAAGGCACCCACTGCCACCTCGCCAGTTACGCTTCTACTGACTGCTCCCATTTGCAAGAATTTCCTCCCCCCCCCTCCAACTATCCGTGTTAGTCAGCTCCATGCCACCGTTAAAGTCCACTTCTTTTTTTTCTTCTGTCAAATTGCCTCTGAGTCTAACGTAAATACGCCAACTGCTTTTGTACAGTGTCTTGAGATGCGGTCACGTGTCGATGTAATACAACTACAAACTGGAGTGTATTTACATCCATTCACTGTTCACTGAATATGCGAGTGACAGCAACCCCTTCTCCTCTGCGTGGTGGGTTTTCTCCAGGCACTCTGGTTTCCTCCACCAAAAAGCCAAACACTCATTATTGGAATTAGCCAATCATCCCTCCAGAAAAGTCTCGAGACTCAGCGAGGCTTCTGAAATACAATGCAACATTATTTCAAAATGCATGTACAGTATCACATTTAAATAAAAAAAATTCAATGACAGTATTTCCCAATAGATTATGTATAGTATGAATGTCTCTTAATTCCGTGTCATTCATGGAGATTGTTTGACCATACTTCACCATGCAAGCCAGTCCGGGTTGTTGAAAATCTGTATTTGATCCCCTACCCTCTGGAAATATGACTAATCCCACCCTGGTCACAATACCAAAAAAGTCAAAAAAATGTCTCATCTATGGAAAATATGGCGTCATATTTGTTTTCAGTTCTCTAAAATGTCTTCGGATACAAACGTTCGTGGGGCAAAGTTCAAAGGATAAAATGAACAAAACTTATATTTTATTGGCCCCAAGTTAATCATATTTGAACAATATTAGTGTTACTATCTCAGCTCCTATATGTAGCCCCTTCTGGAACACAATTCACATTGACATCAGTCACTGACGGAGTCACTCATGACCAGCTATTTTTGTTCTATACGCGTACAGAACTGCGTGAGAAAAGTGTTGCAAAATTGCAGCAAGAACCGACGCGAACTCGGCAAGTCACGCGGGAAATTCACAGCCCTCGGCTAAGTGACGCAGAATTCGGAGCGAGCAATGCTCAGCACACGGAGTCACGCGGCCACATTGGGTGCGGTGTAACGCGAGTCGCCCAGAGTATGGAGCCCAACATTTCCAGCAACTTGCTGTGCCTCGCGGAAACCAAGTGTGGGCGAATTACCTTGCCTCAACTCGAAGTCAGACCCCAAAAATAAAAAAAGATTTCACACACCATGAAAACGATAGTACACTCTGTTCCAAGGCTGACATGTGTACATTTACTGTACGTTGGGGGTATAAAACGAGAGAGGATTTTTTTTTATTTAAAGCTTTCGTCACTGCAGTGATTCATATTCTTGGTTCTTTCGGTGAAGTCACGTTGAAGGGAAACAATAAAATATACAATAAAATATTGCTTCCCTTCAACGTGACTTTACCGAAAGAACCAAGAATACGAGAGAGGATTGTTAGATTGGACGATCTCGTGTGCAGGTGGCTATCACAACCATCATCGTAATTATCGCCATCGTTAAATATCAACATGCCTGTAATTGTTATCAGTCACCACAATCACAACAGCCGCCATTGACCACAAAGTGGCGGTGACGTCACCACGGCGCTTGTGCCAGGCTAGGTCCACTTTGGAAGGCTCGCTACTGGCGGGTCACGTGAGGCGTCTAGCCCCCTCTATCCGGACAAACAGAAGCTGCTTTGGGATGTAGTGGCTGTGCTTGCGGGCTACACGACCCAACTAAAGCAGCCTCGCCTGTCGAAGGTGCTCACTTATGAGAAGGTGTCCACATCTTCCATAATCACATCACAATCACCACCAAAATAAACCACACTCACAACCATCATCACAATCACCCGCCCATCGTCATTACCACTACAACATCAACACAATAGCTAAAGTCAACACAATTAACTAACCATATGGTCCAAATTTACCAAATTTTCTCGCAAACTACTCAATTGGGATAATGCATGACATACATCGTCCCCTACCGTTCGCTTGATGTAACAACATCTGCTGCTTAGGGGCTGTCCATAAATGACGTCACGCGATTTTGGATTATTTTTGACCCCCCCCCTCGTCACATGAAGTCACAAAAAGTCAGACCCCACCCTCAAATATGACGTCACATTTCTCACCCCCCCCCCCTCGTCACACATCGTCAAAAATGTCTGAACCCCCCCCCCCCCCAGGTGCGTGACGTTATTTATGGACGGCACCTGACGCCGTAATCCTGCATAGAGAGCTTTCTAGCTCCACTTGAAATCTCCTGCAGTAGTAGATACCTAACTCATCCCTCCTACAAAAACGTGGCAGGGACCCTCTTGAATAAAAAAGAGTCATGAGCCACAGTGGAGACTTCCCTGGGATAAATAACAACACCCACAACCACCGTCTCCATTGACAAAGCCGCAGCGAGCCACGCACCGCCACTCATGGTCGAGACGACTGGATGTCTATGAAAAAAACGAATCTTCACATTACATAAAATCCGTGATCTAGTTCCGTCTGTAAAAGATGTGATTCCGGACATACAGTACCCTGGTGTCTACAAACTAAGTTGCCTCTGTGGTAGTAGTTACATTGGAGAAACCAAACGACATGTCTCGGACCGCATTCGTGAACACAAAGCAGACCTTAAACACGGTAGGACCAACACCTCGGCCGTGGCAGATCACTGTTATAATTCAGTAGGCTCACATAACATTGACTTTTCCAAGACAGAGGTTCTTTGTAAAACATCTGGCTACCATGAGAGATTCGTTCATGAGGCTATCCACATATACAAACACAGAGACAATTTCAACCGAGAAGATGGATTCTGGCTTAGCAATCATTGGAAGGATTTGATAAACCATTTCGGGTTTTAATTGATTGTTCACGCTTACGGTGGCTTTAAGACAGCATACATTAATTTTTCGTCTCCCCCCTCCTCTTTTCCGAACATAGATGGACTCGTCCATCTAAACAAACTGTCAAATCGCTCTCCGTGGTGCTAACGTTAAAAAAACCGCCACTTTTTTCAAATTTTCTTGCTGTGGTTTTCACACCAGATGATGATTGCTTGTGTTGCAGTCCAAACGTCGTGAGAATTTTATTGTTTTATATTTTTATTATTTTATTGTTTCCCTTCTACGTGACTTTACCGAAAGAGCGAAGAATATAAATCTTCAGAGCTCATCGGATTCCTCCAGTACAAAGATTCTGGTTCTTTACGTCACAAACCCACGTCATTCGCGTAACGTCACGAGTCAACACCGGACGGTGCCAAGGCCCCTTCGCCATCCCCCCCTCAACCCCTCCCCCACATCTCTGAACTCCTCCCCTCGCGGCTCGCGCACCAATCAGAAGGCGGTCTCGGTGAAGGCGGGGGAGGGGTGGAAAAACCCAAACACGCGCGTGGAGAGCGGAAGCGGGGCTCGCGCAGGATTGTGGGAGGCGACTTCCGGGGTGGTTGGTGTTGTTAGTGGTAGTGGTGTTTGGTGTCGGCTGAGGAGGGCAGTCGCTTGACCGGGTTCGTGGCAAGAGGTCGCGCGGCATCACACGGCCAGAGTCCGGAGGTGGCCCAGGTCCCTGCGCTCGTCGGCGTCGTTCGTAGCGGCCCAGACGAGGGGTTGAAGAAAGAGGGAGGACGGGCACGCGAGAACTCGACTCGGAGTGAGTGATGGTCGTCGTCATCATCGTCAGTCGTCGCTGTCGTAATCTTAATATCGACAAACGTCGTCTTCGTTCGCACCAACATCACATTTAACTGTAAAACGTTACATGATTGTCGTTGGTGTTCACAATCGTTTTTATAACTGTTATCGTCGTCAGCATCTTCAACTGCCATCATTAGTATCGCCGTCCCCTCAGCATCTGCATGGCCATTAGCACAGTAATCTTCACTATCACGGCCAATTACTATCACCATCATCCTCAATGTATTTTTTGACTCATCGTCGTCACCGTCACATCTTCATAACCATCATTGCTCGCATCGCTGTCAATCGTCAAGACCGTAAACATCTTACAACCAACATTAAAGCTTCGTACCAATCATCAGTCGGGGGTAACTGTGTGGCATCGTCAACGTCGTTATCCACATCGCCATCGTTATCCACATCACCATCGTTATCCACATCGCCATCATCACCATACCGGGAATCACCGTCATGAATGTCGTGCGTTAAGAGCGGCAGTGACGTAGGAAGAGGCCCAAGATTAACAAGGGTCTTTACATCCCCAATTGCGGCATTTCCGTTTAACTTAATGCTTTTCTCCCTATCTATATATATAGATGTGTGTGTGTTATTTGTGTGTATGTACTACTGTGCCTGCTGCGTCTCTCGATCGTTGGCTGTTTTGAGTAGGTTCATACTGCGTACGCGTCTCTTTATGGCCGTTACGGATGTGCGCAGTACGTTTAGCTTGCGATGACGCAGTACACTATGAGCCCGACCACCTGAGTTCGAGCGATTTCCGCTCACGGCTAACACGGAGTGGCGAGTCGTATCTGAACCAATCCTGTACTAACCTTTCACCAGCCTCTTATTGACCAACTCAAACGACACGTCTCCTATTCCAGATGACACTGGCTTCCAGGTCCGCAGCTATAGAACCGATGAGATTCCATCGCAATCGACCGTAGCCTGACTACATAGAGAGTGTTGATTAAATCAAACCGAGTGACACTAAGTTTAAAATACTGGACTCCATTTGGGAAGATCCCGCACCTCCGATTAGCGCCGTGCGAAAGAAGTTCAACAGACATACTTCATAGGTTCAGATCTCTTTATCGTGAGTTAGCAGACATCTCTCCAGGGTACATCAAATGAGCATCACTTTGTGGGAAATCAACAGTGGTTGTCTTATGGATACACTGGCCACTAAATTTTGATTTATTTTATTGTTTCCCTTCTACGTGACTTTACCGAAAGAACCAAGAATACACTGGCCACTGTTGTAGAAATGCAGAATTTCCACCACAAGCCCATGACAACGCACATTTGAGATGAGAGACCACTTGACGTTTGAATAGATCACATCCAGAAGTTTGGTTGTGAAATTTTAGGTGGTAATCAGAGTTGGCCATTCGTCATTACACCATCTATATTTTAAGAGATCAAACGGCCTTGTGTGGAGGTAGTATTGAGGGCTCTAGCTTTCACCCCTAACCCCTCACATAATTAGCCACTCTAGCAAGCACACAGTGGTACAGTGATACTACATAATGGCATACATGAATGCATTACGTCCCATACAGTGAGGGAAAAAAGTATTTGATCCCCTGCTGATTTTGTATGTTTGCCCACCGACAAAGAAATGATCAGTCTATAATTTTAATGGTAGGTTTATTTGAACAGTGAGAGACAGAATAACAACAAAATTGCATTTTAATGAGGGAAATAAGTATTTGACCCCCTCTCAATCAGATTTCTGGCTCCCAGGTGTCTTTTATACAGGTAACGAGCTGAGATTAGGAACACTCTTAAAGGGAGTGCACCTAATCTCAGCTTGTTACCTGTATAAAAGACACCTGTCCACAGAAGCAATAAATCAGATTCCAAACTCTCCACCATGGCCAAGACCAAAGAGCTCTACAAGCATGTCAGGGACAAGATTGAAGACCTACACAAGGCTGGAATGGGCTACAAGACCATTGCCAAGCAGCTTTGTGAGAAGATGACAACAGTTGGTGCGATTATTCGCAAATGGAATAAACACAAAAGAACTATCAATCTCCCTCGGCCTGGGGCTCCATGCAAGATCTCACCTCGTGGAGTTGCAATGATCATGAGAACGGTGAGGAATCAGCCCAGAACTACACGGGAGGATATTGTCAATGATCTCAAGGCAGCTGGAACCATAGTCACCAAGAAAACAATTGGTAACACACTATGCCGTGAAGGACTGAAATCTTGCAGCGCCCGCAAGGTCCCCCTGCTCAAGAAAGCACATATACATGCCCGTCTGAAGTTTGCCAGGGAACATCTGAATGATTCAGAGGACAACTGGGTGAAAGTGTTGTGGTCAAATGAGACCAAAATGGAGCTCTTTGGCATCAACTCAACTCGCCGTGTTTGGAGTAGGAGGAATGCTGCCTATGACCCCAAGAACACCATCCCCACCGTCAAACATGGAGGTGGAAACATTATGCTTTGGGGGTGTTTTTCTGCTAAGGGGACAGGACAACTTCACCGCATAAAAGGGACGATGGACGGGGCCATGTACCGTCAAATCTTGGGTGAGAACCTCCTTCCCTCAGCAAGGGCATTGAAAATGGGTCGTGGATGGGTATTCCAGCATGACAATGGCCCAAAACACATGGCCAAGGCAACAAAGGAGTGGCTCAAGAAGAAGCACATTGAGGTCCTGGAGTGGCCTAGCCAGTCTTCAGACCTTAATCCCATAGAAAATCTGTGGAGGGAGCTGAAGGTTCGAGTTGCCAAACGTCAGCCTCGAAACCTTAATGACTTGGAGAAGATCTGCAAAGCGGAGTGTGACAAAATCCCTCCTGAGATGTGTGCAAACCTGGTGGCCAACTACAAGAAACGTCTGACCTCTGTGATTGCCAAGAAGGGTTTTGCCACCAAGTGCTAAGTCATGTTTTGCAGAGGGGTCAAATACGTATTTCCCTCATTAAAATGCAAATCAATTCATAACATTTTTAACATGCTTTTTCTGGATTTTTGTTGTTGTTATTCTGTCTCTCACTGTTCAAATAAACTTACCATTAAAATTATAGACTGATCATTTCTTTGTCAATGGGCAAACGTGCAAAATCAGCAGGGGATCAAATACTTTTTTTCCCTCACTGTATTTACAAGACTTAATTAGTGCATCATTATATTCAGAGATGTGGTAACCAATTTTTTGTGTGTGCGTAAGCACAGGTATTGGAGTCAAAGTCCAAAGGTTTTTCCATTATCGTGTGTAATGTTATCAGTGTGGGTTTAACAATTGACACCAACCCAAGAGATTGGTTGAATTGCCATGTTTCTGGATCGGTTTGATCTGAGAATCGTTTATTTCAACATTGTGGTGAATGTAGTGGCCTCTAGTGGATGCAGCTTAAGATCAATATCATTTGATACATGTTTTACACCCACTCATCAGGGTTAGGTTTGGATCAATTCCAATATTATGACAATATAAACCACGTGGTACATTACAATGAAGGAAGTGGTGGTACAGTGTTTAGTTCAATTCCAGCCCACCACTAACATCACTGGCGAGTGAATTGTGAATCAGTCTTGCTCCATCAACACGTGCTTAAAGTGTCATGTAGTATGGTTAAATAACCCCAGGACCAACATGGGGGGGGGGGGGGCCTTAATGGAACAGCGGATTGACAAGTATGTACTGTATACATTTAAATAAAGCAGAATGAAGGGAGGCAGAAAAGACAGAAAAATTCAAGTGCCAGCCAAGGGAAATTATTTTTGACTGGGAGCAGCAGAATATAAAATAAACCTTCAATTTTGCAGGGATTAAGGAGATTGTGGAGAGGAGCAATCTATATCTACTGCAGTTACTATAGATTACTTATGAATTTGCATGCTAGTACTTGTATCATTTAGCCATTTAAATGTGTTTACTAAAAGATATCAATGTAAATTAGCTGTACAGTTTTAGCTTGGTTCTTTACCAAGGAATTTGAGTTCCGTATGATAATTTATAAAAGAGCATGAAGCAATGCCGTAGTTTATAATCTCGCAAGTGGATTATGAAAAGGTAACCTTTCACATGAGATTTACCAATAAATACACTTCAAGTATTTTTTTCACATACGTTGATCCACGACTGGACGAGAAGGCCTTCCACCTGACATGTTGACCTTGGTGGTTGTTTGACCATGCTTCACCTACACTGGTCAATGTGGGTTGGTGAAGGTACAGCCCAGAACTGGTTCAGATATTCACCACTGATGCTAGCCACGGTCAAAAAAGCAACTGCGGTTGCTGGGTTAATCTCAAAGCATGCTTCTCACGGTGCCATTGTTCTGCAGGTTTCATAATGCACCGTTTTAGAGGCAAGGATCGATGGCTCATGCAGGGACGTTTCTGAAACTCACAAACCAACTTGGGCTGCAAGGTGGCCAGGAATGGCATACAGCCAGCTTGGCTGTTTTTCAAACATTTGTGTGATATTCCCTCTTTTTTTCTTCCCTTGTGACTTTACCGAAAGAACCAAAGAGTATTGTTCCCTATTTATGTCGGGTTTTTTTTCTGGGCACTTCAGTTTCACGCTTTACGAAAGACATAAAACAAAATAACTGGCCAAACGCCACAAGACAGGACCCTCTAAAGACTCAATACAGCTATCCTGGGTAAAATTATATCCGAATAAAAATACAACCTCTGCAGCAGGTCACTGCATAGTGTTGATATACTAATACTATATTCACTGAAACTAGCGTTCCTTCCTCTTTAAGTAACACTGCAGGAAGTCCGTTTAACACCTAGGCTTTCGCGACCAATATAATCCATAACGCAGGTTTTTTGGGTTATATCGCATAAATAGTAACGAATTTGCATGTTCTGTTTACGTGACAAACCTTACTAAATGGCTGTCGGGTGGTAGTGGGTTTAACTGACACATATATTTATGCGATCTAACCAAATAAATCCTGTATTATGGACTGTAGGAAGTACTGCACTTTCAATGTTTGAATCCTGGTTGAGGTTTCCCTATCAGTTAAGGCAGGGGTCCCCAACCCCCGGGCCGCGGACCGGTACCGGTCTGTGGCCTGTTAGGAACCACTCCCGCACCGCGCTCTTGTCACAGTTTTGGTAAGCCCACAAGCTAACCCTAGCCAAAATGAGTAAAAAACAAACGTCACTGGAGAGCTTCTTTGAAAAGGGGGGAAAGACCCAATGATGAACCCCCCCCCCCGGTCCGTGAAAAAATTGTCTTCCATGAAACCGGTCCCTGGTGCCAAAAAGGTTGGGGACCGCTGAGTTAAGGTACCATAAATTAATGCAAGGATGACCTGGATATCCCTGAGCATGGTTATGTTTTTTTACCTTTTCCCATAATTTTCTCTCTATTTTACTATTGGAGTCTTGAGACAAAAACCACGCAGGTTTTTTTTTATCAGATCATTGCCAATCCTATGTGGTAGATCATTTTACGCTAAAGTACATATCAAATAGCTACCTCTGTGTTTATTTCTTCACACTAAAGAGTTATAGCAGCACTTCCCCACCTGTTATGCCACCAGAATTTCAGTTCAAATGACAGAGCTGAAATTTCGCCCAAGTAAGTGCAGAACCAAATGTGAAATTGTGTTATTGTGCAGTCATTGCTAATGGGGTTAAAACCATCAGCTCACTGCACTTGAGAACCTGGTTTAATTACAGGATTTGAACCCAGCATCTTAAAAGTGCCAGCTCATCACTTGGACATCTGAGCCATCCAGCCAGCTAGCTGTATTTGATATGGCTCAATTGTTACATGCACAACAAAAACATTACAAGCAAGTCATGAGTACAGAACAATATTTCAGGTATTGTCAGTCAATCAGAAGTTTGCTGCTTCCAAAAAGTCATTGTGCTTAGATGTGAAGTCCCTTGAATGAAAATGGTATGATTGTTCAAAGTGGTTGATCCACATCATGTTCAAGTAGTACCTACAGTGAGGGAAAAAAGTATTTGATCCCCTGCTGATTTTGTACGTTTGCCCACTGACAAATAAATGATCAATATATAATTTTAATGGAAGGTTTATTTGAACATTGAGAGACAGAATAACAACAACAAAATCCAGAAAAACGCATGTCAAAAATGTTATGAATTGATTTCCATTTAAATGAGGGAAATAAGTATTTGACCCCTCTGCAAAATATGACTTAGTACTTGGTGGCAAAACCCTTGTTGGCAATCAGGTCAGACGTTTCTTGTAGTTGGCCACCAGGTTTGCACACATCTCAGGAGGGATTTTGTCCCACTCCTCTTTGCAGATCTTTTCCAAGTCATTAAGGTTTCGAGGCTGACGTTTGGCAACTCGGACCTTCAGGTCCCTCCACAGATTTTCTATTTGATTAAGGTCATGAGACTGGCTAGGCCACTCCAGGACCTTAATGTGCTTCTTCTTGAGCCACTCCTTTGTTGCCTTGGCCGTGTGTTTTGGGTCATTGTCATGCTGGAATACCCATCCACGACCCATTTTCAATGCCCTGGCTGAGGGAAGAAGGTTCTCACCCAAGATTTGATGGTACATGGCCCTGTCCATCGTCCCTTTGATGCGGTGAAGTTGTCCTGTCCCCTTAGCAGAAAAACACCCCCAAAGCATAATGTTTCCTCCTCCATGTTTGACGGTGGGGATGGTGTTCTTGGGGTCATAGGCAGCATTCCTCCTCCTCCAAACACGGCGAGTTGAGTTGATGCCAAAGAGCTCCATTTTGGTCTCATCTGACCACAACACTTTCACCCAGTTGTCTTCTGAATCATTCAGATGTTCATGGGCAAACTTCAGACGGGCATGTATATTTGCTTTCTTGAGCAGGGGGACCTTGCGGGCGCTGCAAAATGTCAGTCCTTCACGGCATAGTGTGTTACCAATTGTTTTCTTGGTGACTATGGTCCCAGCTGCCTTTGAGATCATTGACAAGATCCTCCTTTATAGTTTTGGCCTGATTCCTCACCGTTCTCATGATCATTGCAAGTCCACGAGGTGAGATCTTGCATTGATCCCCAGGCCGAGGGAGATTGACAGTTTTGTGTTTCTTCCATTTGCGAATAATCGCACCAACTGATGTCACCTTCTCACCAAGCTGCTTGGCAATGGTCTTGTAGCCCATTCCAGCCTTGTGTAGGTCTACAATCTTGTCCCTGACATCCTTGGAGAGCTCTTTGGGCTTGGCCATGGTGGAGAGTTTGGAATCTGATTGATTGATTGCTTTTGTGGACAGGTGTCTTTTATACAGGTAACAAGCTGAGATTAGGAGCACTCCCTTTAAGAGTGTGCTCCTAATCTCAGCTCGTTACCTGTATAAAAGACACCTGGGAGCCAGAAATCTTTCTGATTGAGAAGGGGTCAAATACTATTTCAATTTATAACATTTTTGACATGTGTTTTTCTGGATTTTGTTGTTGTTATTCTGTCTCTCACTGTTCAAATAAACCTACCATTAATATTATAGACTGATCATTTATTTGTCAGTGGGCAAACGTACAAAATCAGCAGGGGATCAAATACTTTTTTTCCCCTCACTGTATCATAGCAGGCATTCGTAACTTTGCAATACACTGCTGTTGAAACATTGCTTTGAGTGTGCTATAGTTAGAATACAGTAGAGTCAGGCATTACAGCTGATATGCAAGCTTGGGATACAATCTTCCTCAAGTAGAACAGTGGCATTTCCTTTGCACACGGTTTTAGTGGCAGGCTTAACGTGACTGTATTGTAACTTCAGTAGTTTTTATTTATTTATGAGAACTGTATTTAACTTACAGCTTTAAGGGAAGGCAATGCAAAAAACGGAAGATATTTTTAGAGTTGTACCTAAGCTGTGCCCTTGGCTGTCCAAAGTGAGTTTGAAGCTTTGGGAACAATAATATTAAACTTTAAAGTTAGCGCTTTAGTGATGCCACCACGTTGACGAATTGAAACATGGGAGTGGCTTCACTGGAATGTTATCCTGGTCTACCCTCACAGTAACTTATATTTTTATTATTTTGTTTCCCTTCTAAGTGAAAGAACCAAGAATAAGTAACTTAAAACGTTTTTTTTTTTCAAAATTAAAGCTTTAGACTTGTGTTAGCCAAGGCAGGTATGCCCAAAATAATCTGTTTGCACTTTGGTGTTTCGTCTTCCAAATAAACAAAAGCCACATTTGATTTTGTAATAACTAACTATTTAATTAAATTCGATATAGACTATCACACTGCCATTCATGGTGGTGTCTCCATTGCAGCCAGTTCAAAATGCTACTCGATAAATCTGCTGTCAGGAAATATGACCATGTCACACTTGCAGTGGAAAAAACTGGACTGGCTTCCTGCGGAGGAACTTGTTACATTATAACACAATTTGTATTAATACACAACTTGAATACGACCACACCTCAGTGCAATATACAATAAGATGTATTTATTTTGCAACCTGTGAATTTATAATGATATGATCGTGGATTTGCACCTAATAATCTTTATTTCCTGGGAACCTGCTAACCTGTCTGGCTGGCGACATCAAATCATCCAAATTTATGAAATTCTCTTGAAATTGTTTCTGTCTGGTCCTGAGTGCGCCATCAAAACATGGCTCTTTTAGAAGGATGTTTTCAAAATTAAACATGACATGTGATAAGAAGATGGTGATACTGCGTTGGCAGTTGTATACAAATACAAATATCAAAACACTGAACATATTCGTCAATAACACTGCCTTAAAAGAAAATCTCATAAGCGACTTTTTAACCAATTACCTTTCTTCAGAGCACATATAGAGCAGATAACATTTTAATAAAAAAATGTTTCCAGATTAACAATGTGTTTTATTGGTCTCTTGAGTAATAGACAATCCTTAAATAAAAACAATGTATTACTAAATAAACTAATTTGTATTGAAAGTTATGCTATTTAATGGCACATTGCATTGTGGGTTGCCCCATTACAGTAATGTAGACGAAACCATAATTGGCATAATCCACGTATCCTTTTCTCATCAGTATTACAATGCTTCAACAAAAACCCAACGTGAGCATGATTTGTGACTGTCGCTCTATTTTGTGCCGTTCCTTTCGCAGAGTTTTACACCATGGCCGAATTGGTGCAGACACCTCCTGTGGGCGACTGCAATAAAGAGCCGTACAGCTTCTCGCACGTCATTTTCCACAACGTGGCCCAGGCGTACCCACCCGACACACACCTGGAGTGTCGCTACACCCTCACGCAGCACATTCAGCCACACTCCAAGGACTGGGTTGGCATCTTCAAGGTGAGGGGGTTGTGTGAGTTTTTCCCGCACTAGATGTCTCGTAAGAAATAGGAGGAATTACTAGAATTATTTCAATTAAAGCATGTTGAATACCTTACCCTTTTCCATGAATTCACTTTTTTTTAATCATCGCTTTTACTGATGTTGTGCCTTGTGATAATTGCATTGTTTTTACAGTAGGCTTCCGATTATGACTGCCAGCATATTGGATGGCATTTGTCATGTGGAGCTTGTTTTGACTGAAAACACATTCACTGCATTCTACTGCAACAAATATAAAGAAAGTTTTTTTTTTAATTTACCCTGTTGATTTTTCACACTTTTGCTTATGACACTTAAACTTTAAACAAAATAGTTTATTTAAACATGACTCACTGAAGCAAAAGTAATGCAGCTTCCAAACTGTTAAATTGTCATTACCTACGGGAGATTTTTTTGGTATGTAGTGACATAGAATCGGTCACGTAGCAGCATAGCGCTGGCTGCTGGCAGGGAAGGGGAACTGCAGCTTACAGAAACCCTGACTGACAGCAGGTCACGTGATAGACAAAAGAGGGATGTACGGGAAAGGTTACGGAAGGGGCACATCGAGAACCCGCTCGTAGGTTCCAGAAGGGGGCGTGGCCGGGGGTGGAGCCAGGCCACGCTGACCATATAAGACGGGCCCCGGGAGCAGACCTCGGGGCTGTCGTTTGGAGTGGGATCCCCGTCGTGCTGCTTGAGTCTTCACTGTCGTCTTCGTCTTCCCCCTCACGGCGTCGCCAGTCAGGCAGTCTACCAGCTGTCCTGACTGGGGACCGTAGTTACCAAGTGTTAACTGTTAAGGCCGTATAATAAATAGAGTGCCTCCTACTATTAGTGTCTCTGAGTCAGTCACTACAGGTACAGTAAAACCTGGGATTGTGAGTCACTTGGTCTGCGAGTGTTTTGCAAGACGAGCAAAAATTTTAAATAAATATTAATTTGATAAACGAGCGAGGTCTAGCAATATGAGTAGTACGTATACGCTTTGTCTGCCGAGCGTCACGTGATCACAACTGATATGCGAGTGCTTTGATATACGAGTGCTTTGGATTACAAACACGTTTCCGGAACGAATTATGCTCGCAATCCAAGGTTTTACTGTACATACAATATTATGGGTTTTCCATTTATGTTATTTGTCTTTATTTTACCAGTCCAATGTTTTGGAAAGCATCTAATATTACTGTAAATAAACACTGTTGAAAGTGTTTCTTTGTGCAATCTCCATGTAGATTTATAGTATTGTTTTTTTTTGTCATTCCTCAATAGTTTTATTTAGACTTTGGTTTGTAAAATCTTTCATCAATATTCTTAGTTTTTTCGGTAAAGTCACGTTGAAGAGAAACAACAATGTATGCAAACCGACACACCTGATGATGACCGTTTGAGTTATGGTCGAAACGTCGTGAGAATTTTTTATTGTTTTATATATATTTTGTTATTTTGTTGTTTCTCTTCAACGTGACTTTACCGAAAAAAACTAAGAATATGAATTACTGCAGTCACGAAAGCTTTAAATCAAAATTTTCTTTCATCAATGTCAACTGATTCACTGATGGCTGTCATAACAACCAATGGACATGAATTACATTCAATAAAAAAATGTAGACTTATTGGCTTTGATCTAGTATGCAGTATCATAATCATATGTCACGTGGATGAAGTCTTGGAAATGCATTTGAGTCTTGAAAAATATCTTACAATGCTTTTAAATGTCATTCTCATTCATGTGAGTCAGCATCTACACAGATTACCTTGGAAAGGGTAGTGTTCACATCAACTGAATGTTGCGTCATTTACAAATAGTTAGGAAAGAGCCAAGGGTTGAACTTTGCTCGATTTTTATTGTGTTTGTTTAAAGCCCTGGACACGTAGGTTAAAGTTCTCAATGTATTTTAGTGCTGTCTCTTTAAAACATTCCTGACTTTTATCCATAAATAAATCATGGTCAATAAATTGTGCAATTAATGTCTACATGTATAGCCCGTTTGCCAATTCACTGCTGGAAGAAGACTCATGATTCGTGGGTCACAGGAGTTATTTAACCACACACACTTCACTACGATGGTCAGTGCGGGTTTGGTCAAGGTGGGAAGCATAGACGTTGGAGGATAGTAGTAGAGCACAACGTTGAACTTTGTGGCACTGCCCTCTGCTGCCCACCACGTTGCCTTACAGGAGCCTATAACAACTAGTTTCGTGCATGGATTTGTTGCCCATCCAAGCACTATCCAGGCTCAACTTTGTTTAGCTGCCGAGAGTTATTCAAGATAGTGCACACTTGAGGGTGATTGGTCATAGGCCCACACTTTTTACACGATAAAATATATATCTTCGTCCACAACTCTGAGAATATTATACACATTGTGTCCTTTCCGGTCAAGGAACATTGCCGTGTGCATTTCTAGGCACACGAAAATGTAAAATATGCACTGCTGGGAACTTTGCATCAAACAGGTTTTGAAAGCAAACTGCTTACAACAGCATTATTTTGGCACACCTTGCTAAGCTATAATGGACTCAAAACACCACATTCTCCCAATTCGAGATTTCTTGCTTGGCTCATCAACAGACAATGCAAGGTTATGACCTCCCAACCAATCTTGTTACCTAACCTGTAATCAGCATTATATTATTAGTTCGGTGTATAAAAAATCAAGGGGTTTCTTTAAATCTTGACTTAAAGCTTTCGTGACTGCAGGAATTCATATTCTTTTGGTCTTTCGGTAAAGTGACATCGATAGGTTCAACTGGGAGATACAAATAATAATAATAGGTTTCTTTGTTAGTGTTCTCGCATCCATCAGCTTCATTGCTGAAACTAGTCATCGTCATCACTGGATATGAACGATGTATTTATTCACTAATTTATAAATCGATTGGAATGCTCACAATACATGCATCAAATCATGTGCATGAGAATTGGTTATGTACAATTTAGGAAAGCTATGCTTATCTTACTTTTAGGCCAATAGAGCAAACCATTTTTTTTATATTAGAGACAGAACAAAGGATAAACAATGAGGTGTAACAAACGGGACAGACTTTTATTTTAATTCGAATCACGACCCTGAATTGTAAAATTCATCAACGCTGTTTACAAAAAATTTCACTGGGTGGAGCTGGTTAGTGTAAAGTTAAATTACTAATCTCATGAGCCAAGAATGTGTTTCCCCGCACGTAACGTCACTCCACATGAGGCCCACCCCCCCTCATTAATATTCATGAGTGGGTGGAATTTTTGCACTCACAGAGGAAGGTCGAGCTGAATTGAATAATATATTACGCAAAGTCGCTTCAAATATGACGTTTCTTTACAGAAAGTGACGGTAAAAATGTATCTACGCAGCACAGTGCTACATCGTGTGTGACGTCACTGCAAAATATCCCCCCCCCTTAATTAATATTCATGCCCGCGTGGAAATTTACACCAACACAAGAAGGTCGCGCACTCCGCATGCCGCACCCCTCCCCTCATTAATAATTATGAGCGGGTGACGTCACTCCACATGCCGCACCCCTCCACAATAACCATTAGCTGGTGACGTCACTCCACATGGGGAACCCACCCCCTCATTAATAATCATGAGCTGAACAATTTTTCTATTGAATATTTCACATTTACTGCAATATGCACTCGTCCTTGGACGGGCAAACAAGCTAGTATGAATGAATAATTCATCAATTTAAAAATATTATTACTCTCATGGTACATGCATTGAATTATATTTGTAAGAATTGGTTTTGTCCCATGTATTTTTGGAGATTTCTATCACTACAAAATCCAGCAGGTAAAGTTTTGCCCCTGTAATTGCTTGATCGAGCTCCAGAGATTCATACCAACAATTAGCACCGTTGGCTGTGTTCGGTGTGAAAGAAGTTCTACATGCATACAGCCCTTGGTCAATGCAATGCTGGATGTCTGTCATGGGCTGCATATGCGATTGTTCAAGAATTATTCCATAGATTCTTATAACAGGTCCTATGCAGTCGCACCACTATATAATCTGTACATTTTCATTGCGTTAAATTCTGCAGTTTCTCCCTGCATTCACCATGTGAGCCATTCAAGTAATCGATTTGTAAAATGTAATCATTACATCAAATTGTCACAAGATCATAGAATCGTGGTAGGGGTGACTCATTGCATGATTACAGTCGAGTATTTCCCCACTGTAAACATGTGTTGCGCATTTTTAAATTTGTACCGAATGCTTCAGTTTATAGGTTATCGAACCCTCCTCCAGTTCTGGTTGTGACTGGTAGAGTTCCCTCTGTTCGGCGTTATTTTTGTATTTGCCATTAATGTATAGGTATTTGCTGCCACCTGAAGACAGCGGAATAGTATTACACTGCTGAGGTTTGCTTTATATATACGTCATTTAAGTGCAGCAATAACCCATCCTTTAACCTGTTACGGTCAGTATCCTCTCAGTGGATTAAGGCCCGCGATGCCTCGTACATGAAACGCAAAAGTAATGACGGACTGAAAGAAAGTGCCTCTGTGCAAATCACCTTCATTGCCAAAGCTGGTCATTCCCAGAACTGTAACAAACCGGGCACACACGGCCATCACATGAGCTCCCTCCTGCTTGCGGTGTCTCAATCTGCTTAACAAGTAATTCTGTGCTATTTATAGATGACACTTCCCTTCGTGATTATAGAGAGTGCTGTCTTTATAGTTTCAACGCTCGGTTGTTCCACTTGGGAAATTTGTTTATCACCACAAACTCTGTGAGCCTGTATATTATTAGTATTAGTGCTGCATGTACAATGACTATTGGGCTGCCTTCTGTTCAGTGTCAAATGACTAAATTGCCTAATAGCTGCACAAACTGATGATTATTTTCCTGCCCTGATTTAATTTTTTTACATTCAAATGAGCACACTTGTTACACTCGTTGCGTGTGCAGGATGCTGAGAATTTTATGAAAATTCAAAATAATAAAGCAACTTGTAAGTTCAGAATAGAATGTGTAAAGAAAGTTATTGATTTAATTAATCATGAACAGTTGGTTACGATGGTTAGGGGCACATGTCCACATGTCTGAAGTATAGCCTCCTGTGATTAATCTGGACTCAGACCAAGTCACAAATGATGGCACAAAAATACATTTAATTGAATCTGGTTTTCATAATGTTGCAAACAATCCAGCTCTTAGAATTTAAATTCTGCTTTTGGTTTTAACGCAATGCAACGAACATCTCTAGCAGGACGGGCGATACAGTGGTACCGCCAAATGTGGATGAGAGGTCACTTGAATGCATCTCAGAAGTAGTTCTATGATGTCACTTTCCACAAGTCATTCTTTAACACTGAATAATAATGCACTGCTCGGGCAAGAGTTCTGAGCGGTCACTTCATCCCATGACTTGATAACGACCGATAGTCCACTTCAAATAACAATTGAACTAAAGTTAAACAATATATATAAAATATATATGGAAATTTAGCTTGTTGACCAAAGGGCAACATCTCTCATCTGTCATCCTCATTGCGCGGTTCCCATTTTGGGCGATTTAGCCATGCGAGGTGGACTGAGTGACACTCCCAGCCTTGCCTGTGTGTGTGTGTAGGTCGGCTGGCGTACCCCACGTGACTACTTCACCTTTCTGTGGGCCCCAGTGCCAAGCTCTACTCAGAGCAGCCTCGGCTCAGAGCAGCATCTCATTTTCCAAGGTAAGCATTAACACCTTCCGTGCTAGCATCAACGAACATTGCTGCCTCCAGTTTTGTCTTTTTCCACTTGCGCTTGATCCATGATGTTTACTGATTTCATTTTAATTCTTTATTTAAAGCCAAATTGGGCAATTATAAGGTTAAAATCAATTACAGTATTTCACATTTGTATGCTAATGTGTTAATTTCTAATCAATCAGGATAATAATATTGCACCGAAAAGCAACGGCGACTATTAAATCAATAAGCAATTGTAATTTGCAGTTGGTCTTTTAAAATGTGTTCTTAATCTCCGCTTTGTCCACCCGCACGGCATGGGGGGAAGCCTTCATCCAGCAATCATTTGACACAAGGTGCTGCACGCACGCACACCTCTACATTACGTTTATCGCCACTTGTGACCTTTCGACCCCCCTGCCAGCGTATTACTTGCCAAAAGACGACGGCGAGTTCTACCAGCTGTGCTATGTCACGAGCAATGGCGAGATCCGCGGAGCCAGCACGCCGTTTCAGTTCCGCAACTCCTCCGAGTCCGACGAGCTCTTCACCCTGGAGACTGAGGGTGAATCCGACATCCTTGTCGTTACTTCCAAGGCCGCTCATCTGAAGGTAACCCACCCTTCGTCGTCATCATCATCACCTCGATGGGACAACACAGTCTTTTTGTGCAGCTGGCAAGGCTACAAGGAGGGGCAATGTTGTTCGCAAAATGTTATTCACACACTCCTCGACATGTGTTTTTATTATGATTCTCGCGAATAGAGAAGCCGTTGCTCTACAACAGAAAATAGGAGACATCTGTAGTTGTAATACTCGGAGCACTAAAAGTAATAAAAACATTTCCGTACTCAAATGGTAAGATAATATGTATTGTGCTTTTTTTAATATATGCTCTGGAATTTAAATGATATTTTGGCAACATAATTACATTAATAGGAGCACAAGTTGAAAAGTTAGAGTAATTTTAAATGAATCATGTCCGTCTTCTGTATTTGTTACTCCCACCTCTTTGGTGTTACTATAATGTCTTTCGAACTTCTTCCAACGTTTCAACTCGGTGTTTGTTAGGCGGAAAATTCCTGTTTAGCCAGCCTTCTAACAACAGAGTTATTGTTGATGGAGAGGAGTCCAGCAAGCAGCCAGCGAGGAAACTCGAGGCATAGATTATTTTAAATAATAGTATCTTACCTTTAAAAGCAATTTTATGTCTGTCTGTGTGTGGACACACCCTTGTGACGCATTTAACTCTCAAACTGCTGGCTTTACATTTCAACAAACTACACACGTACGACGCGATAAGCCTCCCGACCGAAAAATCGCGATTTATTTTTCCCATCCGTCAAATGTAAAGGAGTTAAGGTAACAATTTATCACTTTATTATTATATTACTACGCTGAGCGCATGCCAAAGCATGCATCTGCGCATGCACAAGAACGCTGACTCGATGGAGGGGGGGGGGAATTCTCATTCGTGTTAAAAATGCAACAAAAAACACAACACTGAGGTAAAGTCTTCAAAGTGTGATGTCCTCTCCCCCCCCACCCCAATGTGTGCAGTTACTACTATAGTGTCGGTAGATACTACTATAGTCCGTAGCTACTTCTACTGTAGTGCGGGCGGGGGGATGGTGGGGGGGGTAGTGGCCCAGCCACAACCGGCCAAGGTGCCACCTCGGCTGGCTGGGCAAGCTAGGCGAGACCGCGGGCTCTGCACGGGACTAGGCCTCACCACGGAACTCTAAGTTCGTAGTTAACTGCTATAGAGTCGATAGATACTATTATAGAGACGGTATATACGACTATAGAGTAGGTAGATACTCCTTTAGAGTAGGTATATACTGTAGAGTTTGTAGTTACTGCTACTGTAGAGCAGGCGGTGGGGGGGGGTGTAGCAGCCCAGCACCAGCCTGCCAAGGTGCCACCTCGGCCGGCTGGGCAATCTCGGCAAGGCTGGGGGCTCTGCAACGGGACTAGGCCTCACCACGCCACTCTGTTAAGTTCGTAGTTAACTGCTATAGAGTCGGTATATACTATAATAGAGTCGGTATATACTGTTACTAGCTTTACTACCCGGCTTCGTCCGGGACTTGAATTCACCATGGCCGGCCGCCTTTGTCTCCCCAGTGGCGATGTTCACACACCAGTTACTCGTTTGAGGCTGAGTCGACCTAGGGGAGGCCCAGGACCGGTTCAATTAATCGTCATCGGTGTTGGCCGTGAACGGGAATCGAACTGGGGTCGCCGGGTTCGCCGCGCAGCGCGCGAATCGCTACGCAGTCGCTGCCCCCCCCCCCACACACACAGGATAAAGACGAAGATCCCCCGCGTAGCCTGTGAGACTGTAGGGGGCAAGTGCTGTTAGCGAGCACCTATGAAGGCCAGCACGGCACACGAGGGGGTGGGTGGCCAGCACCATGCCCAGCCGCCTTTGTCTCCCCAGTGGCAATGTTCACACACCACACCAGTTAGTCGTTTGAGGCTGAGCCGACCTAGGGGAGGCCCAGGACCGGTTCATATTATTGTCACCGGTGGTGGCCGTGAGCACACACACATACGCGTGCGCGTCCATAGGTACACATACCCACGCTTGCTGCAGACACACACAACTTTCAGGGTGTGTGCGGCAGTAAACGACTCAAATAAGAAACCAATGCTGCGCGAAGAACGCCTTAGATCTGCAACACATTTGTATTTCACTTTTCCTGCGGGGGGGGGGGGGTGGTGACATGAGCAGGCACACTGCGGTACGCTTCCGCATACAGGACACATGACAGATGTGACGTCACAGCTCACTTCCCGTGAAAAAAATATATGCATTATTGCGCCCCCCCCCCCCCCCCCCCCCCCCGAAAAGAAATACAAAAGTGTATTTTTTATAATTTTTGCATGGTGTACAGTCTGGAAAGTACCCACATGGCAAATTTCAAGTTTGTTGCATGTCGGGAAATACACTGAACATTTTGAACAGACACACATAATCACAAATTTCCCTTTTATATATATAGCGATAGACTATCGAGTCGGTATATACGACTATAGCGTAGGTAGATACTACTGCAGGGTCGGTAGATGCTACTGTAGAGTAAATTGATACTGCTATAGAGTCACTGTAGAGGTAGTTACTACTACGGTCAGTGCATACTACGATAGTCAGTAGATACTACTATAGATTTAGTAGGTACTACTATAGTCATTAGATACTACTGCTATAGAGTCAGTAGTTACTGCTATAGAGTCGGTAGATACTACAATATAGTCGGTAGATCCTGCTATAGTCAGTAGATAATACTACAGTCAGTAGATTCCACTACAGTCGGTATATACTGCTGCAGAGTCAGTAGTAACGACTATAGAGTCAAAATATACTGCTATAGAGTCAGCAGATACTACTATAGAATCAGTAGATACTGCTATAGAGTTAGTAGTTAATGCTATTTTCAGTGGACACTACTATAGAGTCAGCAGATACTAGAGAGTTAGGAGTCACTACGAATGAGTCGGTAGATAATACTGTAGGGCCAGTAGATACTACTACGGGCAATAGTTACTACTACAGTCAGTAGATACTACTATACAGTCAGTAGCTAATACTGGGCTCAGCAGATACTACTGTAGAGTCGGTAGATACTACTGTAGAGTCGGTAGATACTACTGTAGAGTCGGTAGATACTACTGTAGAGTCGGTAGATACTACTGTAGAGTCGGTAGATACTACTGTAGAGTCGGTAGATACTACTATAGAGTCGGTAGATACTACTATAGAGTCAGTAGATACTATTAGAGTCAGATACTATTGGAGTCGGTAGATACTATTGTACAGTCAGTAGATACTATTGTACAGTCGGTAGATACTATTGTACAGTCGGTAGATACTATTGTACAGTCGGTAGATACTATTGTACAGTCGGTAGATACTACTGTACAGTCAGTAGATGCTACTATAGAGTCAGTAGATACTACTGTAGAGCCAGATACTATTGCAGTCAGATACTACTATAGAGTCACTAGATACTACACACTTTTGTATGTAAGGTGTGTAGGTATATATGCCTACGCGGGGGTCAATATTTTTTGAGGGGGGTGGGGGGTCGACTATTTTCAGAAACCTTTGCGATCAACTATTTACTCGCCATTTTCTATCACCTTTTCGATGTCTGCAAGCCTCTTAGAATTTTGTTGACGGACAAATGGATAGACAAACAGCTCACCGGGCTTTCACGATAGCTTAGTATTTGTGTATGTTTATGTTATGTTTTTAAGAGAAGTTTTGAAATATCTTTTTTTTATCCCTGGGCAACGCCAGGTACTTCCCGCTAGTGATGTATAGTTTGCTCTTTAAACTTTTCAACTAAAAACATTAAACAGCCCCAGAAGATACCACGTGACTACTTCCCTAGTCACTTCAATAAACCTAAATTAACCACACTTAAGAGCACACTGTTTCATCCTCTAGAAATATTCTTCATTACATGTCAGTAATACCTATATTTTAAATATCGAAGTAGGATTAAACATAAAAAACTGAAAAAACAAATGTAATATGTGCTACCATTAGGTAACCATCTCCTCACGGCACTTGAGAAGCCAGTTTAATCACAGGTGGCTGAAACCCAAATTCAAACCCAAGTTTCTAAGTGTTGCCAGCTTAGTGTTTGACCCCTGACCCACCCAGCCACTTCGTAGAATTGTTATTGCTCTTTTCGTTTACAATTGCCATGCTTGAAGAGTAGGGCTTTCGGTAACCTTTAATTCCAGTTGTATTTAGCGAAAGTGATGGAGAGCAACACTGGCTTTTAGGAATAAATGTGGCGCTCGGCAGGGCTGAGCCAGAGAAGGTGTTTCTATTAGCCCCAGATGGCAGAGCAGAAGGAGCGTGCGATGGCAGGTGACATTTTCCTGCTGCCTGACAAGGCCCATCATCTCTCCATAAACACTTACAATACTGCTGACAGCAAAGCAAGAAGCAGATGGCCTGGTGTTCCACACTGAATATTAAACAATAGAGTAGGGACTGCATACATTTCACAATAGCCCTTTAAAGAATACCACCAGAAGCAGCAAGAAAAAAGGTTCACTCCAAAAAACGCCAATAGGTTTTCGAAAATAACCTTGTGGATTTGGGAGGTGAAAAACTCGGACATTTCGCGTGGCATGATAACCGTTTAAAAAGCTTTAGCGTTTTTTTTAGAGTTCGTGTGAAAAGTTAATTTGTACAAATGTTGCCCAAACAAAAGGTTCGTACCACTAACAAGACGTGCTGTCTGATAGAATTCCTTGGAGGAGGTGCAGCGCCAGTATAAGGAGCTGAGCAAAGCTAAATCTGATCTGGAGACCGAAGTGACCGGCATGAATGAGAAAATGAAGCAACTCTCTGAGGAGCTGGACGGACGACGCAAGGAGGACTGCGCTTTGCAGAGCCGCTACACGGTATGAGTGCCAATCATTCAACATTCACGGTGCTCTGGCTGGATATATGTTTTTTACATCGGCATTTCGGTGATGAATGCGGACGCGCCATTTCGGGAAATGTTTTCCCGCAGTTTTCTTTGGGGATGCCCGAACAAGAATTCATTTTAGTTGGGTCGGTCACGCGGAAAATATTTACACACGTGCCCGACCACATCCTTGAATACCTCTCGCTATGGCAATGGCTATACGTTACATGTCTACTCCAGTCGTAGCCAGCAACTTGGAAAAGATTAGTTGGAAAAGTGAGCTCTTTGCACACCACATGTGGTATATCTCTCACTGTCTGCTAGGCACATGACTACTGCAGTCTTGCCAGCGACCCAGAAAATATGCAGAGAGAAATTAAGCCCTGTGCATGGGTGTGTGCGTGTGTAGACACTACCTTACTGCAGGGTTAATAACCTTCATAGTGGCTGTGTTCTTGCTGTGCAAAAAAATTGCCACTGCATAAACAGCCAATACTGGATCTCAAGTGCATTGCTTACATGTAGCTGACAAGATAATGAGGCAAAATAAACCTAATTAAAGGCCACAGCCATGTATAGTTTGCCTGGCATACCAGTGTGCCACGTGTGAGTAATCCATTTCTCTTTTAGTGCTTGACAGAGGACGTTTGACGGTTTGCATTGGAATAAAAAATGACCTTTTCATCTCTGGGGGCTGGGTGACATCATTTCAGTTTAGAAATCCAATTCTATTTTCAGCTGTCGTACCTCAGCAGAGCACTGTGTTTACACATTGAATCATTGCCCTCTGGAGTGGGTTATACTGTTGATATTAAATTCCTGGCTTTATTCTTCTTTTTAAATTGACCATTTAGCCACCTTAAAGGTGTATCGATTGTGCAATACAAATATAAATTAATCCTGAAAGACCAGTTAAATTACCCGGTTGAAATATGGAACGATTGCTCGAGCTCATTGCTCAGACACGTTCGTTTTTATCGGCGCGGCGTTTTCCACTATTTCTTGGCAGCATTTCTACCGTTCGCTGTGCCTGGTTTGCAATGAAAGACTAAGTTTCCATTGTGGCTTCACCACCAGACCAAGACGCTTTTCCGTTCTCGATCTTTTGGCCACAGTCAACCTTTGCAGAGGACACAGGTTGGTCAATCTATGATCATAACGGTCTTGCTGCAGTTGTGAGCATCGTGGGCCATGTTCACAATTCGTCAAAATTTGTAACTGGCTCCACTGTCGATGAAGATGTAAAAAAAAAAAAATCTTTAAAATAGGACAAAAAAGGAACATTGACCAAACACCTGCCTCAAACACACGTCTTACCTTTCGTCACGAATACGGCGACCCATCATTGTTTTAACGGCGGGATGTGGCTTTCGTCGCGCTTGTGATGCAGGAACTCGAACAGAGCAAGCAGGCTCTGGACTCGGGGCTCGTGCAGCACAAACGTCAGCTGGAGGAGTCTGCCGTACGTGTTCAGCAACTCGAGGGAGACCTGGAAACCCTGGCCAAGAAGATGCTGGACAAAGAGATGGAGCTGGATGGGTGAGGCCTCCAATATGTTCATAGACTTTTGCGTTTAGTCGCTGAACATTGTTGCATCGAAGATCTGGTTCATTTGATTCAGCGAATGGCTTTATCATTCTGATTTTAACCATCTCGTTCAGCTTTCTTTGTTAACATTTTGATTATGCGCATAGAATTTGAATAAATTGTCGATAATTAGATTCTTACGCGCAGTTCGATGCACGCATAATGAGCCTAAGAATCAATTTTAACTGATGATATCGCCGCATGCCTACTGCCCACCTTATGGCTTTGAAACTCTTTTGCCGATAAGATTCTTAGGTCCCTGGGTGATCTATTTACAAATTGCTATTTGCCTTGGGTTGGATTTGTGAGCTACGTTTATGAGAAGCAAAGTGCATGATTGCCCTTAGGGTATTTATTGACCTCGCAAGCTTATTTTTCATGTTGGTACGGAGTCTTGATGCTGAAATTTGATGTCTAGGGGTTTGTAAAAGCCACATAACCTGATTTATAGATCGAGCGTGTGCTCACCAGAAATGTGACAATCTCGTTTAAGGATTGATGCAATTCTTCTGTTGTAAATGCACAGGTATCTAAAGAACACTTCTTTTGTGTGCTGCCGTCCATGCGCAGGTGCAAGGACAGCATTAAGAAGTTGACTGCTGAAAAGCAACAGCTAGAGACCGAACTTAAAAATGAGAGGGAGGAGAAAAATCTTTTTATGGTAAGTCTGAGTGAGCAGAAGCTTTTAATGCCATTTAAGTGCAAGAGGTGGTTGGGTGGCTCAGGAGGCTAACACTGTCTGAATAACACTGATTAATGAACCAGCACCACCGAGATGCTAGGTTTTAAGCTATGTTTCAGCCCACCCTTACACCATGGTTTCAAAAGTATAATGAGTTGGTCTCAATTCAGTCATAATGATTACACAACAAAATCATCTTCATCCTGTTAAATCTGGTAATTCACTTGATCTATCTAATTCTAGCGCAGAAAAAAAAATACTATTAACATGCAACCAGCATATTTTGCAAGGTATACAAAAGATATTTCTCTCGTGTGGATAAAGACATCTCGTGAAGTATCTTCCGATGTAGATTAGTGAAGTAATCTTTCAGGGCCATTTTCATACATGGCAGTACACTTCATAGCTGTGTGAGTTCCAAATGGAAATGTCTTGGTCAAAGAAAAGAAGACCAACAGCAGTTTCGTACTTATGGATGCCAAACTGTGACCAACGTCTGTACACAGACTCACATCAAGGAAACGGACCTGGAAAACAAGCAGCTCATCACAAACCTGCAGGCCGCCCAGGCAGAGGTCGGAAAAAAGAACAACGCGATCTCAGAGTTGACGGAGGAAATCTCCCGCCTGCAGCAAAGCGCGGCTCACAGAGAGAGGTCGCTCTGCGGGGCTGCAGGAGCCGAGTCATCTAAACCGGAGGTGAGTCCACGCGTGTGCTCGGATTTCAACAACTCCACGCTGAGCATGGCACTACTTGATCTGTGCAGCAATCTGCTTGATGAGCTTTCATCCACTCGGCCAACCTTACGGCCTCTTCCGGCTCCAATTAGTGAAGATAAGCAAGCTCTTTCTTGGAATTTTGTGGTTTCAGGTAATGAGGGCAGGTGGATTCAGTGATGGTTACAATGCAAAGGCAACATTTGCTAATGTACGGTGCTCAGGCATCTGGTCGACTCGCTCTCTCGGGAAGCTATATTTACTGAGTGCGCCCGTCTGGTACAGTAACCACTGATAATGAGTGTCTCCGCATTGGAAGTAACGGCAGTAAATGAACAGAAAATGCGCTTCAGAGGAGGACCACCACGGAGATGGAGCAGAGAAGTTTATGCGCAGGAATGTAATGGATTATAGCATCGTAAGACAAACCATGAGGAATGGCAGCATCCACTGGTGGATAAAGATTGACTGATATCGATAAGACATGTAAGAATATAAAATAATCATTAGTTTTAGGATTCGACGCAGGTATCTTGATCGTTAGACGCAATCTGTATCCATGGATCGTTGCATCCCTAATGTAAACTGCACTGCGTATCACATTGCGATGATAAATGGTAGAAACTCTCCTCGTTTGCTCTGCGCCTTCTCCAGAAGGAGCTGGGTGTGGTACGGGAGCTGCTGCGCCGCACCGAAGATCAGTTGGCCAACAGCGAGCAGAAGTTAAAGCTCCTCCAGTGGGAGCTTCTGGACGCTACCAGTACCCGGGACAAAATGATGGCCTCTCTGTACCAAGAGCGCACGAGCAGTGAGGAACTTCGCACCCTCGTCACTCAGGTGCCCAATGATACCAACTCGTGTTCTTGGCTTTGACATTCCATCCGCACGGGATATTTTCATTCCTTGCTCTCTACGGTGAGCCTGCTAACATTTAAAAGTCTCGGCGTACCTTACACGATCTGTGCAAGCGGTCTTGGGATTGCCATTTTCGATTAACTTAATGCACAGTTGACATGCTTAAGAGGCAATAAGTCCATTATTTCTCTTTTTTTTATATATATAGCAAGGGTCAAGTGAGCGCTCATTTTGACTGTAAGGAACCAGGGACCCATGATATTGATAACGGTCTATATAAGATCATTGACAGTGGTAAGGTAAAAAAAGTAATTTAAAAAAATTACTCTTTTCCTTCCTCAGATTTTTGAGTTGATTGTTGGGAATCCTTCTGTGAAGTGATGAAACATCTGGTTTTGAAAGCTTTCACTTGAGGGGAGTGGTGGTGGGAAATTATTAAACTGTGAAATTTTGCAAACATTTTCTCGTCCATTGCACTGAAATAACCGGTCTCATACCTGCGACTTCATTGACCAAGCCCCGAGTCGTCGTCTTTTCCAGATGGAAAACAAGAACGTTGAGGGCTTGCGTGAAGACTCGCCTGATTATGACGAACTCAGGAAGGAGAATGAAGACCTGAAGTTGCGTCTGCAGATGGGAGCCGATCACTACAAGGATAAGTTTAAGGAGTGCATGAGGCTGCAGAAGGAGCTCACCAAGGCGAAGCAGCAATGGGTGCGTTCCGGGATGCTGAGGTGGCAGCGCATGCTCGATTTGTGAAATCGAGAGCTGTTTTTTAAATTGTCATGCCCTCCCCCCCTCCCCCCATGTTTCAATGAATGGACACGATTTGGGGCTGCGATTTTGTCCAAGAATCACATTTTTTTTGTTATTTTCCATGAAGGTGACAATAGCGGTCTCTATTGGCAGAGAATCACATGAACCCCTTTACATACACGGTAAACAAAATCGATAATAACTTCCTATACGTGTCATTAGATGCATGTACAGTGAGCATAAGCATTCATGTAAATCGATAAAGATATTTGTCGTTAAAGCCTACATTTTAGCCCTTGGTAAATAAGAGGAGGGACCAATTTAGTTTAACAGTTTTGACTAAAAGTTTTCTTAAAAGTAAAATACATTTTTGAGGTTGGGTGTAATCTGCTCCAGTTGAGAAGGTCATCGTCTAAATGTCATTTCATATTCACAGTCGTGTGCATTTGGTCACATGAACTATTTTTTGCTTTCACATTTGCACTAATCGATTTTAACACCTTTCACTTGAAAGTGCTGCTCTTCCTCCTTTACTCGAAAAAAACTAAGCGGTTTATTGTGGCCACTTCAACTGTAACGTTAATACAAAAAAATTCTCCCTTTGCTGCATTGTTGCGACAGGATGAACAGGTGGAAGTGCCGGCGGTCGTTTCGATGGAAACCCAGAAGTCCCCTCGTGAGTCGAGACACATTATTCTCAAGCGCGTCAGTTAAAACATTTCAGTGCCCTTGATCCTGTAAAAAGTTATCGCCGTAACTTATGTCTCTGTCGTCCACCGGCAGAATCTACGACGGGGCGGTTGAGAGCGGAGAGATAAAACTCATGTGTGTTCTTTTGGCCGCCTTGCACGCATCACTATCCCCCCTCCCATTTCTCCTCTCAGCTGCGTCTGAAATGAAGGAGAAACTGGGCGGTGAGCTGTCGTCTCGGGCGATGGAGAAGCTGGCGGAAAAAACGGACAAGTGCAAGAAGTATAAGGAAATGTTCAAAGTAAGGATTGCATGCCTTTCCTCCCAGTGTACGTTTGCTGCACGAAGTATTTTTTTTGTTGAGATAACAATTGTCATAAAACTTGAGCCATAATTAATTGTGCTGTTGTTCGCACGTAATTAAATGCAACACGACATAATGTGTGTAAGCTGGAGAATAATGTTAGTGCTTAGATAAAAATAATAGCTTGTTCTAGCTTTGTGAAAGAATGCAGGAAAAAAATTGGCAAGCAGTTGCTTTTAAATGTGATGCATTTTTATAGATGTATAGATAGGAATTTCATTGCCTAGCAAGTGAGGTTATTACTTATATTTTTGTTTTCCCGCACGGCTGATCCCCACATAAATTTGGCAGCGATTCTTTCTCATACACCAGCTGGTTAGTTCTGGCGGCACACTCTTAAATTTCCATTCCTTCAGCTGTCATCAGTAATTGATACAAATAGCCGAGTTAACCAGCGGTGGCTCCACAAACAGCTTTTTTTTTCCCAGCCTCCTTTGGCCGTACACAACAGCTTGGGGGGGTTAAAGTGGCCAATGTTAGACCATTACTCAAATTCTCAGAGCAGGTTGCTATAATTACATATTACGTCTAATTTAAATGTATTTTATTTTCATAAAGGACACTTGCACCGTTTCATTGGGTGAATTAACAAAACAGCTGGCGCAGATTTGTCCGAGCGTCGCCAAACCCATTTTAGGAATAGCATTCTCAGAGAAAGGTGACGTTAAGAAAAACTACGCACACACACACAAACGAGGACCTGAACACTTGATCTCGGATTGTCGTTCGCGATGTTGCTCAGAAAGAGAAGGAGAACAGAGAGCGGCTGGAAGAGGAGCTGCAGAAGCTGCAGAGGAGCATTGAAGAGGAGAAGCGGGCCACGGAAGTGCTGTCGGATAAGCTGGCTAGAGAGCAGGCCAACATGCAGGTAACGCAGTGCCCAAGTGACTCTACAGTTTCCTTTACTTACAAGCGAGCGAACCTACAGATTCCTGTGTAATTTGGCAGGGAAGACACCCATGTCACTTTTTTGTAGGAGACGACACATTGACGCTGCTTCATTACTGCCATCGTCATAAACGAATGCTGCCTCGTAATTGAATGCTTGAAGAGCTAATGGTTTGCCGCTAATCTCCTCTCGCGTGTTGTGTTTTTTAATCTTCACTCGGTACGCTGCGTCGTCATTCGACGTGCAATTTGGATTTTGTTTTGCTGTCACCAATCCGATTCAGGCCATTATATTCTCAGTTTCATCTTACAGTACTCTGTCTATTGTTGGTAGTTGAACTCGCATGTTTGTTTTTGTTTTACTGTTTGGCATGTTTTTTTGTGTTGCAAAAAAAGCATGCTTCAATTTATTTTCCTTTTTCATTTACAGTTTTTTTCTGCTGTCTTTGTGCCATTTCTCATGTTTAATGCATTCTGTGTTACCTTTAACTTTACTGTGTTTATATGTCTTCTCGTAGGCTTGCCACTTTCTGGGTGCTTTCACAGTGTATGCCCATAATGGTCACTTTTTTTTTCAGGATCAGCTTTCAACAAAGGCATTGGAGCTGAAAGATGTCCGATCGGCTCTGGAGAAGATTAAAAAGGAGAAGGAAGATCTGCTGACAAAGTTCACGGTAGTGTAAATCCCTCTCGCTAAAACTTTGCGACACGCTAGACTTGAACCATAAATGTCAGCAGCCGTGCATCGCAGGACATGCGCGTACAGCAGCCATAGTAACAAGCTTTTTAGAGGAAGTAAGGCGTGCATTACACTCGAGTGGCTGCACATCCCATCTCTACGCACTCATTACCTGAGCACTTTAAGCCAGGCACACTGTTGACTTTGAAAAATGCTGACATGCTTAAATAAAGAAGCCAACAAACAGACAAAAAAACACAATTTTTCTAAACAACGTTGGAGCGGTGCCGATTTTTAGCAGTCGTCTCCTGCGGCAGAGAAGCAGCATATATATGCGTGCATTTGTTTACATGTCCTTGTCCCACGGTGCGGGTTCCAAGCATTGCTCACCGGTGCCATTAGAGCACCGATACAATGCGTACAATCGTAAATTGCGTATTTTGTTTTACCAGTTCACGTGTAGCTTCAACCGCACGTCGAAACTATTTGCTTTTCCTTAAAGGGGGCCCGGGTTAGCCTAGCGATGCTTTTTTAGAGAGGGCACTTTTGTTGGACGGCGCGAGAGAGCTACATCGGAGGGCTGTGTTCGACGTGCGTCCTAATTCTTGTCATGCGATTTCAACACGCAGCACGAGAAGGAGGACAAGCAGCTTCTGGAAGAGAAGGTGATGAGGATGGAGACGTTCTTCAATGAGCAGCAGCAAAACAAACAAGAGATTTCGGTATTTCCCACAGTGTAGCACGAGAGCTGAATGGTGGCAGTGTGGTGTAAAAACTGTTAACCCGTACAGCTTTTGTGCCTTTGCACCACTCCAGAAACCTTTCCTACTTTACAACGTGCAGTGTTTTGCCACAAAAAAAAACTTTACGTGGAGGATATTGCCTCCCTGCTTGCAAACCAGCCCGCATACAATCTGGCGTATGTGTTTTTGGTGTGCTGCGAGAAACTTCCTAACTGCTTTGCCATCCCGCTGGTGAATAATTAGATTTTGTGTTTCAATTTGTTTGCCATTTTCATGGTGGTTCACTGGCAGATGCCAGCAGCATGCTACGTAATCTCTTGCTGAGTACAGCATGAATTTCTCCGCGGTTTAGCGCGCGCCTCTGGCAAGTGGCCTTCAATTTCAGCGAGCCCAAATGCGAGCCAATCAATCAATATCTGCCGCTGACGTTTTTGCCTCGCTGCATTGTGTGCGCGGATTGGAATCCCGAGACCACTGCCCGTTGCAGCATTAAACTTGTATCGTACCACACCCGTTATAATGTGTGAAAGCTTTTTTTTTTAAATATACTCGAGGGGTGGGTGTTGGGGAAGAGTAAAGATTTGCAAATTACAGTTTTGAAATCTTAAATATATTTCCAATGTGGAAGTGTTTTTGCCCGGGTGAATGTCTTTAAGCTTAGAGTAGGATTTCCAGTACCCCCCAAAAAAGATTTCTGGAATACGAATTTAGTCATTCATCAAATGGGGAGTATTTTTGCAATATAATCGCACCATCGCACAGTGGTTTTTTTACATGTCACAATTGAATTTACTGATATCTAAAAGTAAGAAAAACACTTCTTGGCATCAATGTGCATTCGTGTAAATGTTGTATTATTACACGTCACGTCGACACAACTGGAAATATAACGATGCACCGAATAGCCAATTCAGATCGTTTCTTAAGCTCGCGTTGCATGCATTAAATTAAACGTGTAAGAATCAATTGGTTTCTGTTTATGCAAATACAAATTATACGCTGTCTCATTCAGGCTCATGGAGCCAACCAAACAGTACAAATCGTATGAAAAAACTGAGAAACATCACAAGTTCGGCGGTACAACCATCCTCCCAAAATTATTCTCGAATCGGTGACCCTTAGATTGTGACAATTTTTCAAATTGCAAGGAGGGTGAATCATGATGCGACAAGCGCTTCCCCCGTTGGTTAACACTCGCGCAAAACATGCGCGCGGATAAACAGACCCGCGCACAGCTGGGGTAGCGTTAAGGAGGCCTGGGGCCCGGGTGTGAGCTGCGGAGGAGGGGGGACCCCTTGTGCGGTGTATCACAGCGAAGCAGATGGCTGGCTGGCCCCGTGCTATGAAATGTGCCCGAGCCTCGGCGCACCCCAGGGGCGCTACTCCAGGGTAAATCCGTGGTGTGCAGCTGCGTTACCGTCTGCATCGCACCCTCGGCGTCTATTCATTAATCCCCGATCAACACAAACCTCGTACTCACTTTGCCGGCTATTAATGGACACCGCTGGCTGTTGGATTGAAATGTTTCATGCTCAGAGAGTTTAATTAAAAGGGAAATGGCAGTTTAATTGCATGAGCTACATGTGGCTGATAATGTGCAGTCTTTGCCCTTTAATCTTTGAACAGCATGCATTAAAAATTCAAAACATTTAAACTTGAGAATATACGCTTCACTCCTTCATGCAGTTTTAATCTTGTTGATTAAATTGCCATGAATCTTAGAATATGAACATGATCTTTGTGTTAATTGACATATCAGGATACATCAATTCAGCTCGTCAGTTTGCCATGTGCTTTGCATACAGTAAATATAATAGAAACTATTGGTGAACGTTCAACATTTTTCATAACAAAGTATACATTTACCGTGACAGCTAAATTGTAACGAAATTCATATGAATTAATTTGGCATTGCACTGCAGCTCAAGGCACAGTTATGTCAATAATGATAACGGTGTCATTTTGAAATCCACTCAGTGTACAGACTGCACGCAGTTAAAATTAATAACTAACCAAAAACATTTTAAGTCACCACTACATTGGATAACATCTCGCCTGGTATGGATTTAACACTTCCCACCATCCACGACGCAATGAATTTGCATGCTTTGTAGGTCACGATTTGAGGGTCACGATTCGATCCACAGATCAATTCTTTATTGTCATTGTGGAGCAATGGAATCCATAATAGCTTCATGCTTTCTGCAAGTAACTGTATGCAACAAACAGTAACGGAAGAGAAAGTAGTTATTGGAATCACGATTATTCACTGTGGATGTCTTGAGCGTAACGAATCATTTTAAATTGATTGATGTTTACGTTCCTGACCATTATTGACAACAACGTCAGGTGTATGTACAAGGTGCATTTTTTTGTGCGATGTTGCACACAGAGGCAGCAGCAGGAGAAAGATTTTGCAATCTACGAGCTGCAAAATACACTTAAAGAATTAACGGATGAAATAGATGCGCATAAGGTAAGGGCTATGCTGAGCAATGAGGATGGCACTTAACTTTGCGTTGCAAATTATCTCCACGATGAACAGTGTTTTATACACGTGATTCTCATTTATGTTATTGTAGTGATATCCCCAAAAGATGTTGGTGGAACCAATGACAGAATGTGTGTTCACTGTTTACAATATGTTGAGATATTTACTGAATGTGAACACTTGTACGTCGAAAGCAGCTTTCTATGTTGCCACACGTACATTAACATATCTATAACTTATTTCGCACCGTACGTAGCCAACTGTGCTCATTGGAGGTATGGGAAAAGGGCAATTTACTAAACACAATGTTAAAGTGTGGCCGGGTAGTGTTTAACATGCCAAGTTTCTTCACGACATCATATTCTGATATGCGGCAAGAGGCACTGCTGCTGGGATACCACATGATTTGTGTAGCAGCAGAGTGCTCTGCTATAAAGTATGAGCTCAGAATTTAACAATTGCATAACCCACGTTCTTACACTGGCCTCTGGCTGTCCCTACAATTATTTAAATTGGACATCTTATATAAAAGGTCTTCAAATAAGATGTCCATGATACATATTGAATTACATCTCCACTTTGCCGGCGATTAATGGACACCGCTGGCTGTTTGATTGAAATGTTTCATGCTCGGAGAGAGTTTAATTAAAAGAGAAATGACAGTTTAATTGCACGAGTTACATGTAGCGGATAATGTGCAGTGTTTGCCCCTTTAATCTTCGAACAGCTTGCATTACAAATATATTTAAACTTGAGAATCACCACATCACCCTTTTGTATAGTTTTTATCTTTGTTACTGCCACAAATTATAGAATATGAATATGATCTTCATGTTATTGACTAATATTTCAGGATGCATCGTTTGAAGCAGTCATTCTGCAATGTAATGTGCACATACTAATGTTAATAGCAACTACTGGTAACTTTAAACACCATTTTCACAGTGTGTAAATGTACAAGGACACACACAAGGAATGCAAGCAGAGTGGTGTTAATAACGTATGATTTTTTTTCACGCAATGTTCACTGTGGATTATCGGTTCACCCAACTAAACATTTTTTATTCGTTTGTAAGTTCAAGTCGCTAATAAATGGAAAGCAACCCCACCTTGTTAGTATGGATGTAACAATTCCCACCAGCCACAATGCAATGAATTTTCTTGATTCGGGGTCATGATTTGGGGGTCACAAATCAATTCTTTTTGTCACTGGTGCACGTAGAATTCATAGCAGCCTCAGCCTTTCTGCGAAACGATTACATGCAATGCACGGTAAAAAATAAACCCTCCGTACTTATTGTGCACATGATTCAATACGCATATCATAACAGTAAGAATCCATTGATGTAAACATCTGCTTACTTGCAGTGTAAACTAAAGGTGTGTGTGGCATATACAAGAGGCTTTGTTTTCTTGTCAAATGTCACACACAGATGCAGCTGCACGAGAGAGATGGGAAAATCGATGAGCTGGTGGCCACAGTCACAGACTTGAAGCTTGGAAGAGACGAGTATCTGGTAAGAGAGATACAGAGCAACGGTCATGGCATTTTGCCTTTAAAAAAGAAATGACGTTCATGATAAAAGTATTAGATGCACACAAACGATTATTATTTATTGTTACGACAAATCCGGTAGGTGTTGTATGTATGTAGATGGAACTTCTTTCACACCGTACGTAACCAACTTTGCTAATTGGAGATGCGGGGAAAGAACAAAAAACTAAATATAAGAAGCAGTTCTCAAGAAGATAGTTTAACTCGCCTTTTGTCCGTCCAAGGATGGGTGTATTGCATTAAATCTGAAACTTGCAAGCAAAAAGCAGACCGCGACGTGATATTGCATGGATGCGTGTGCAATTTGTAAGGGCTCAGTGACACAGACCTATTTCATGTAAAGGTTATAATCCATTGTTCATCATGACGTCCTTTTTACTTTGATGTCTCAGTAGCGTTACGGAGATCGCGTGACGTGAGAGTTCTGCCTTTGTAGTGAGGGTTGTAAGTTGACGCCGAGGAGGAGGGAGGAGACTCCTCGCCCCTCCATTTGGAGGACGTCACCTTAATCATTATTAATGAGGGGGGCTGTTCGATGTGGAGTGACGTCACTTGTGCATGATTATTAGTGAGGGGGGGGGGTAGTACTCCATATTGAGTGACGTCACCCACTCATGATTAGTGATGAGGGGTGGGGGGTGTCCATTTGGAGGATGTCACCTGCTCATGAATATTAATGAGGGGGCTGGTCGATGTGGAGTGACATCACGAGCGTTGCACACAGACATTTTTGGCTCAGTAAGTAATCATAATGGGGGGGTGTCCATTTGGAGGACGTCACCTGCTCATGAATATTAATGAGGGGGGGCTTGTCGATGTGGAGTGACGTCGAGCGTTAAGGACAGACATTCCTGGGCGATTATAGTAGGTGGTGTTAAGGTATTTAATGTAGATGAAAACAAACTTCTACATCAAATCTTAGGTGCTGCCACAGTGAACCTACCCGTACAATTAAAAAGTTGTACATTCAAATGTGGCCAGTAGAGTTAAGCATATACAATGTGTGTGAATGACAGCATGTTGCAATGTGACCATGAGGCACTGCTGCTGGGTTAGGGTTGGCCTAAAATATTTCATAACCCTCAGTTTCTCTGGCCTCTGGCTCAACCCATACACTATTTAAAGAGCATTTTTTTATAACATGTTTTGTACAAAAGTGTTATCAAGAAGATTGCGTTTTTTTATATATGAAAATCTAAGAATAACATTTCTTCAAAAGTGGGTTAGGGATCTGCTGCTGCTGTGGTATCTATAATAAAATAAGAAGTTGGGCGAGCATGCAACCTGCGCTGACAATAAATACACAGTCAGTCGGCCACGTGGAAACAAAGATGGATACATCACACGCTGAACCGCTTAAGTAAATTGTGGCCAAAATATAACAAAGTCACACATGCAATTTGAGTGCTGGTAATTTGTTTATGGGCCTTTTTTGCTTGTTGCTGTAATAGAGGTTACAGGATCCATTTAATGAGCACCTTTGAAGGACTTTGATAACAGAGGCAGTCAAAAAGAATAGAAAAATCCATAATGTATAACGAAGATGTATTGGGGCACGGCTCTTCCCAGGATTTCAATTTTCTTAGGCTCGCATTTTGACCTTCAGACTACAGCACATCCAGCGTGACCTTAAAAATGTTTTTTTTTTTTTACGATGGCCGGCAAGTGGGATAGACGTTGATGAAAAGAAGTAAGAGTTTGCTGCTTGCGAGTGATATGGGCCTGTCATCGTGGAGGAAGCTGTCACGGGTCACACTCTGGCGGCTGGGTCCGCACGCACGCCGCCCGCAATTTGTGTCGCTCGTAACCTTGGCATCATAACAGAGTAATTTGTTTCTGCTGAAGCTTGCAGTCTTTGGCGACGCGGGGACCGGTGCTGCGAATTTGCCACGTCAATAAGAGTCGCCGGTATTTATTCCCGTCGCGTGGAACGTTGGTCGTCGTTTCGCTGGGCCCGGATGCACATTGTGTCGCGCGTGCGCTGTGAATTCAATCGACTCCCACTAATCTGCAAGTGTGTCATCTAGAAAGCGTTCTCGTTTGCACGAAGTCACTTTACTTCCCCCCCCCATCCTCTTGAAACAAACCTAGCGTTAGCGACGGCTGCATCGGCATTCACGACATTTCACCCTGCTACAGATTGGTACGAGACTTGTAACGATGGATTAGTACGTTCGTCAAATTCGATTCTTACGCTCGCAATACACGCATTGAAATCGTGCACGTGGGAGTGGATTCTTTCTGCACATAATCAGCAAATGATACGATCATGTTACATAGGCTAATGGAGTGGGATAAAAATGTACAAATGAGACTGATTAAACGAGAAATAATAGAAAATGATGGCAAAGAATCGACCACACTGCACACTGACTGTCACCTGCTATGAAAAACATTACAATGCGTCCTTTGCTATGGGAGACCAAGTGGCGTAACTTAGACGTAGGCCCAATTTCTTCTCTTGAACTAGAGCCCGTGCCAACCACACTCCGCCACTGGGCTGGGTACACTATCTGCAGCGCGAGGTGCTTTCTGCCAGCCGTCAAATAATTTAATAATTCGATAAAATATGTGGACAAACTCATCAACACTTTCCTCCCTCGAGTGTTTTACAAGTACAAAGTGCAGCAGGGTGTCGCGAGCCATCCGCTGACTTGCTCCGCATCGTGTTTACAAGCATTTAAATGTCACTTGACGCAGCCTTCCTTTCAATGTCCATTGTTTTTTGTCAGCTGGGAATTTTTGCTCATCCAAGAAGGATATTTCTCTCGATTGATTCTGATTATTGGGAGTCTGCTGTATTGCAATCAGGTTGTGAACACATTGAAAAATGGAGATGCAACTGAAAACATGAACAAAACCATGTATATTCCATCGCCATTTATAACCAGGCTGCAAGTCATGAGCTGTCCTGCCCGAGTTAAACTGCCATAGTGAGAACAAAAGACTTTTGCAAATAATTCTATAGCACCCTAGTGATGGACTGGATTGATTAAAAATACTGTCACAATTATTTCAAAGTATTTTATTCAAATAGCGGGACTTTTAAACTCTTGTCGGTCAGCTCGGGACACGCATCCTCAGGATATCTCTACAAGGCAACATCTGTTGCACTTTCTGACAGCAGACAGAATTACATTTAATATTCAGAAAGAAAATATTTCACGAAGTCTTTGCTTCCAATTCACGTAGGAGCTTCAGCTACGAGCAGTGATCTTGTCCGTGATATATATGTATTGTTTTTATCCTTGTTCAGAAAAAGTTGGCATTTCTGGAAGAGAAGTGCGACACGGGGCAGGGTGACGCTAGTGGCGGTAAGCGCAAGCTAGCACATGGGTGTGCAGCAATATTTCCAAAGGACGAGCATTTTGACATTGTGTTTTCCTTTGCGCCAATGCGTTTGCAAGCCGAGAGCTTGCCATTGTGTTGGCTGTCCTGTGTGCCTGGGACGCGAGTAGTAAAGTGTTATGTCTTCTCAGGCATGCTAGGCAACTGTGGGATATGCAACCCATGGCTTCACAAGCCCGTGGTCAGCACAGGCCCCTACCCACACCATGTGGTCAAGAATCAACCATTCCGTCGCGATTACCGTAATGAGCAGGTAAAGCATTCCGAAATACTCACGAGTCAGCTTGCCTGCTGTGGAAATTATTTTATCATTTGGCCTTTTTTAATTTATTTATTTTTTATTTGGCACAGTAGACTTCTACTAATCTGTAGCAGATCAATTGTGGATGAGCAAATGAATTCTGGTGGTATACGTTTACATGTAGTAGGGCGTTTACGTGCGGCGTGGTGACGGCGTGGTGACAGTGTGGTGAGAACTTGCTGCTGTACGCGGCACATGTGCGTATGGATCGCAGTTGAATAGAGCGAGTGGATTGACATCACAATGCCATCGCCCTCTTTCATTGTAATTTAACAACAAAAACATCTGGAGTGTACACCTCCGGATTAGTGGGAGTCCGCTGTTTTCATGTCCCGCATCCATTTTTCACACCTACTTGCGTTGCGTTTCCTTTTTCATATTTTACTTATTCCTTGATTGATTTATCTATAATTGTTGCCTCGTTATGGGATCCCCCATCTCATCGTGCCAAGGCGAAAGTGCCGCCGTGTTAACACGTTTACCTGTTTACAGCTTTATTTGTTTCTCTTCGCTTTAATTGTGCCTAAGAAAAGAAACATTGTCCATGTTTTGTGGTCCAGTCCTGCTTAAACGTGCCATGCGATCTCTCTCTCTCGTGTGCACGCACGTGAGCGCGCGAGCAAGATAATTTTCGTCAGTGTTGTCGTCTTCGTCGTTATCGCCGCTACCACCTCGCGCCTTGCCAGGGGCCTCACCGTATCGGCACGCGGGGCCGATGGGCAGAACCCGCGGCTCTAACAGCTGGCGCGAGCAGGCTGCCAGCCCGGCGTCGGCGTGAGGCCCGGCTTCCTCCAGCGGGCAGCCGTCGCCCTCCCGCGTTACAAACGACTCGCTTTGACCCTAATTGATGCCTCGCTTTAGGATCCCCTCTCATCGTGCCAAGTCCAGAGTGCCGTCGTATTAACACTTTTTACAGCATCCCGGAGCTTCTCCCTTCCCACTGTAGCGTGTAGGAAAACTCGCGAAGGATAATCTCATTGTGTGACCAAGGCTCCTTCCGCATGTGCTACTCCGCACGCTCACTTTTGCTATTTTTTTCCGACTTTGCCCAAGTCGTTTATGCCAATCTGCTGCGCCGGATTGAAACTCGCCATGCATTCATTTAACGTTAGCTATGTGCAACCACGTCTTGTCAGGAAAATATAAACCTAACAAATATTGGGAAGGATTATACAATTGTTCAAATATCATATGTTGGATCTGAATGGCTTAGGATTCTTAAATATTTTCCTTACCCATGACTAAGCCGCTCAGCGGGGTATAGAGTGTTAAGAGAGCTCGGCGTTCTTACGTATTGACAGTCTCTGGAAGAGCTGCAGCCTGCCGCTAGCATAGTGCTCATTCACCCCGCGCGTGGCCGCCTCCCGTAATCCTGTTTGTTAAAAAGGCGCTCAGCGTAACCAGGCCCTGCCACTTAGGAACTTAGGAGAACACATTTGCAATTCAACCAGTTCTGGGAGGCTCGGGGAGCACATTCATTTCGGTCATCTTATGCTCGCTTAAAATAACAATGTAACGAAATGCCGCGCGCGCTTCATTTTACCGTAATTTCGCCAAACAGGCTTCACGTTTAGGCTATTTATATGTTAACAAATTGGAAATATGCTATTTTCATTTTGTCTTGCTCAAGCAAAAAAAAAAGGTTCGCCGCCACATTCAGTGTTTTGGGACTTTTTCCTCCTTATTTTTTTTTTACAAACAGCACATTATTTTAGTACGCACTCTATACTTTGCGCACAATTGTTTTTTTGGAAGAGATGTCCGTCGCTGAATTATCGCAGAAAAATGTAAGTTACGTTCGTGGTCATACTCCGTTAGGCAATATGCTAATAGCGCGCCTTTTTTTTTGTTGCACGGGCGTCTTACCCCGGAGCGCTTTGCTGTAGTGGGGGCAGGCCTTGTTTGATGAATATCATATTTTTTATTTGATGGAGGGGCTGGCTTGAACTGCGTGGCCTCTGCCCTGGCTGTAGGATAAGGGAATGGAGCATCCCTTGCCGCTTCCTGCCCAACCCTGCTCGCTCAGTAATTGGGCTGCCAGCTCTCTCTTGCGCTAATAAGTTGTTTATTGATGTCCCTTCGGACAGGGCCCATGCCTCGTTATTTGTCTGCCATTAGGTGTGGATTGCGCGGATTAGGGGAGAGCCGCACGGCAAGAAACGGCACTTTAAATCCTCTAAAGGGTTGCCACATTGACTCTCTGTAATGCATTTCTGATTAATCCACATGCAGCACGCTTGTCAATAAAGATAAAGGTCGGTTTATTGCAGAGTGTGTTAATCCTCCGATATATCCTCCAGGGCTATTTTACGTCCAGCATTTTAATGTGTGATATGCTATTAGGAATACTCGTATTGGTGTCATTTATTACCCTCTGCGCTCTTGTAGAATTCTGCTATGTTTAACAGATGAGTAACGCTATTAGTTAGGAGGCATTAATTGAAACGCTGCCGATACCGTGGTGCATAAATTATAAAGTTTTGCCATTGGACACAGTTAAGCTGCTTTAAATTGGTTATTTTTTAAAAGATTTTTTTTTTAATTTGTAGGCAATGCTTGCAATCGGCCAATTCGACTACTTAAACCCCCAAAATAATGCATCCCTCATAAAATAGTTTGTTGCTAGTTAAGTGCCTTGCATGTTTGCATACTGTGATGTAATCGCAACAAACAATATCAGATGTAATGGTCTCATCTGCATCTGCACAGCATATATAAATAGCGTGCTGGCACATAACAGCTGTTGAAAACAGATCCAGCTGAGCATCATTTGCAGGGATGTGCTGACAGTGATCCTTGATTAAAAGAAGAAATGGCGCTATTTATTTCTTCATTCGCCATCTGCTTGTGATATTTCTCATGTGGCTCATTTGCAAAAAAATTACAAATTACAATTACAAATTACAAAAATGAGGATGTCAGCTACTAGCATTTTGCAGGTATTGTACCGAAGCACTCTTCGCAATGGTGTTTTTAATAGCTATTTGTTTGCCCTTGGCTTGTGTCCCCCCTACCCCTTTCAAGCCAACGCTTTGTTGGTTGTGGCAGTTTAGAGTGCAGGATTGGCAGTCGAACGCCATGCTTTCAAACAGAATGGCTGGCCATCACTCGCTCCAAATCATCTACGTTTAATTGGCCCGTTTGATGGTTTACTACAGAATTGAGATTTTTCCGAGCCACTCAACCCAGAACGTCTCGCCTCTTTTTTTCTGTAGCTGCATCCGCAGTTCTTAAGTGGCACGAGAAGAGATGCGCTCAAATGTGTGCGCGTATGATTTGTGCCGGGGTGGGGGGGTGGTGGAGAACGAAGAGTGGTCAGATGACAGCCCGCGTTGGGCGTCGGTGACCTGGGTGGTAGGGCGATGGAGAAGGGGGGGGGGGGTTATGCTTGGGGGGGTGGGGGGGGGGAGAGGGTTTGCAGACAAATCGGCATGAGTGATGGCTGTCTCCTCAGCCGATGTCAGCCCGCTGCCTCGTTACGGTCAATCAGCGGTCGTTTAGAGGGGAGGGAGCATCCAGCCTGGGCCGCTGACAGCACCGGCCATGGTCCACTGACCTCTGTCACGCGGCAGGAGAGAGACTGACGCTGAACCTGTCAGCTGGAGGCCCCCCCTCTCCAGCCTTCATCAATACAGCGATAACCTCCCCGTGTCTCGGGCTGGTTAGGCCTTCTGTGCTTTCCGCAGGTCATAAGAGCCTTCCCCCCCCCCCCCCCCCAGTTGCTGTGAAGATTTTATGATTGGCTTTGAAATGTATTTCCTACAGAATTTTGCATCTGATGCTTTGTTGAAATTTATTTTTCTATTAGGGGCTGCTCGCTAGCCGCGTTTAACCGAACGGATGGTGATGTCGTTAATAGCAAAAACCTGGTTGCAAAATCTAAACTAGGTTGATATTTTATGCAACGTGTTGAATTGCGTTTGGAGGTAAACGAGCTTGGAGATGGCGCCGGTAATTGGGTGCTTGTGGCGTCTGTAATACGACGGTTCGCAACACAAAAAAAAACATCGCGACCCGCGAAAGTGATTTTAAAAATGTTTCCCCGACCTCGCAGTGTTGCACTGAAGCCATCATCCGTCTTATATTGTCCTGGCTACCACTGTTTGTCTTTACGGTGTCATGCGAGCTTTTTTTTCCATCGTGGGCCAGCTTGTCAGTTTAGCTATTAAGAATTCGATTCAGTAGGCATTATCACTGAGACAGCCTCCTTGACTGCACATTGGCTGAAAGAACATTTCCACAGACCTCTGCTGCAAACCCTGCTCAATTCCCTATTACGGGAATCAAGTTTTGGTGAGCGGCAGTGAAGAGCAGTTCATCTGGAAGTAAAGTGATCCCTGGCGTGCCGTTTAGGCTCTCGTGACAGATTACTTTCTTGCCTAAGTGTCCTCCCGTAAGTGAAAGATCAACAGCAAGACTCTTATCCAGGGAGGGTGCGATCTTCAGAAGCGATGAGCGCTCTGATTACAAGGCTAAAGGATAAAAGATCCATCATGGCCCAAGGAATGGCACAGTCTCTTCGATCCGCATTGCAGAGATTGATATCCGAGATTGCTGTTTTTGTGGCAGAGAAGATGGGATTTTGGATCATACAGGCTATCAACCACCCTGATGGTTTTTATCCTCACTATGTGTCAAACAACAAAAAATAAACAGAAGCTGTTTGTGGGTAATGTGAAATGGTAGGCAGCACCCATTCTGGGAGCGAGCTTGCAGCCGTGAAAGACTCCCGAGGGACACATTCAGCCTTTAATTAGCTTTCAGTGCGAGAGTAATTGTCTCCCATCGGGGCACCTTTCTGCGCATGAACTCTGTTAGAGAAAACACCGTGTACTGCAAACGGCAACTTCCTTGTGACAAAGTGGTTTAATTATTACCTGTCTCTTTTGCATTATGGATAGCATTTATAAATTAGAAGCTATTTCTCGATATGTTGCGGTTACGTTGATGTAAAATGCTTAAGAATTGTTCGGGTCTTTTTGCTTTGTCGACGTTATTTAATTTCATGAGACCGTGCAGTGTTTTGTTTAGGTTGTGGTAACTTCTGTAGAATTGTGTGCTGCATGCAAATGTCATATTCGATACAGTACGGGCATCATCTCTCAATATACGGAATGGATACATTCCTGAAAAGGTGTCCCTAAAGCGAAATTCCGTTTATCGAACCCTATTTACCCATTGGCTTCCAGATAAATAATTGGAAATGCGTTAGGATATGGAACAACAAATCGGCCACAAGACATAATAAAATCACACGTCAGAATGCAGCAAACCTTTTGTAAGCACATTTTATGTAAAAATCAATAAACTCATGATGAAATTATACTCATAATACCCAAAATAAGTCTCGATATGAAAACACTGTACAGTACTTAATATAAACCGTGGTGATCACATTGAGTGCCATTACTATCACTGGCACTCAAGTGGCCTCTTTCCAGACATGTTGACTTTTTACCGAAGCAACTACATTGAAAACGGGCATTACCCTGCACAATACCCTACCAGGTGTGGTCAACGCAAAGACCCGAACCAAATGAAGCTAAGCTTGCTTGGGCTGTGGCACGAAGTCTGCGGGGAAGCCAGTACCGCCTGAAAAGCATTCCTTGAAAACCACCTGGAGAAGCGTGAAATGCACGCGAGGACAAATGACAGCCCATGCATTGTGAACCCCCCCAAAAACATATATAAAGATTAAAAAATTCCGTAAATGTGAATTTTAACGTAACGTATATAGAATTAGTTCTCTAATTTGTAAGTAACGTGATTGCGAAATTCCATATATTGAGTTGCCATAATAATGAACGACTTTACGTGTGCATCACTTCTGGGAATCACAATGCTCTATTGAGGTGTTGCATAAACTGGGCTTTAAATGTTCGTCTGTGTGGCATCCTTCAGAACGTTGACGGAGGTCAACTGCGTCAGGAGCCGGAATCCTTTTCATTCGAAATGTAAGTGGTGATTTTTTTAAAGTACTTATACACATAATTATTGTAAGATCCGGTTATAGGACAGTGTCTATAAAGCCTAGATGGATTTAGTGTGTTCTCTCACCGTTCTGCATGGGTTCTCCAGTTTCCTTCCATGGCAATTTGTTTAAATATGTTGGCCAAACACCCCAATGCTGCAGGATCATCCCCCCCCTGGAAAACAGAGTATTTGAATTCTGAGGCTTTCCTGGGTAAAAAAGTAATGATAGATATAATTGTAATAAAACTGTTCACACTGCAACCAGTCATTTAGGAATCGACCAAACATGTTATTTTGTGATCATCCAGTTTTATAGACAGTTACATGATAAAGTGTACTTTTCGGCAATGTCTAATGATGTTAATCATCAGTCTTCATTTACACAATGTTAAAAAGTATATATAGGTTGGCTGACGTTTTTTGCAATGACCCTTTCGAGCAGATGAACAGGGCAGAGATGATGGACATCTATACTGTTACACCACCCCAAGTGCAGTCACATTGTGTTTTTTTCTGTAACAATAAATGTAATTATCATGGAAAATATATTGCCTTTGACAAACTCATGGAGGATGCACACGATGCCATCAGATCTCGGAAACTAACTCGGGTTGAGCATCGATAGTGCTTAGATGGGCGACCTCCACCATGTATCTCAGGCTGGCGAGGGTCACGTGGTGCGCAGTGTGGCAAAATACATTGTGGTACTGTACTTCTGTGCTCCCACACACATGCTCCCTGTCTTCACCAGTCCACACTAACATGCTCGGTAAAGGTATGATCAAAACAACCCCCCCCCCCTCATAACTCGCAACGCACGAGGGATCCCATCCAGCAATAGGTTGAAAAAAAGCTCTGCACTTGTACAAATATTGCCAATTCTTTTGCTTTCTCACCTGTGCCCTGCTGTGGCCTTGTGTGTGTGTGTGCGCGCTGGTGTGCAGGATGCGAAAGCGTTGTCCGATCTGCGAAATGAACTTTCCACCAGACTACGACCAGAGGGACTTTGAAGAGCACGTGCAGAGCCACTGGAAGGAGTGCCCCTTGTGCAAGAACCAGTATCCACCAGACATGGATCAGCAGAAGTTTGAGGAGCACGTCCAGAGCCACTTGGATGACAGGCGCGTGCACCCAGATGATACCATATTTTAAGAGCTATGGAGCAATTTCAGATAAAGTCTCTGACCTCTTTACGTCTTACGAATCCATTAGCCCATATTCTGAATGAGTTTTTCCTTTTTAGATATTCCTATAATAACCCCTAAATAGGTCTCTGCTCTGCCATAGAATATCTGGCTTATGTAGGCGGAGGCGTGCCTGATGATACGGAGTGGTTTTAACGAGGCACCTTGGCATTTAACCTGCATAAGATTTCCACAGACTTTGCACAGCCACACGTATATCTACACACACAGCCGAAGTGTCACAGCCGAAGTGTCACAGACACTTCCAATGTCACCAACTTGAGATTTGTTCGAAAAGTAGACGTCAACAACCGACGGGCATAGTCAGCGATGCCTTCGCCGCACAATTTTATGTTGTGCTGAGAAACTAGCAAAGTAATTTCTTTGCTCTGATTATACGACAACCAATAAACACGTACACAAATATTTTCTTACAATCACAAGTATGTTTCCTATATTGTTAACAGCTTTCCAAATTAAATATAAAATGACTACGGATCATAAAACTAATCTGTACATTTGTCAAATAAAACTATATCATGCGCAACGAAAACTATGAAAATGCTTTCGCACTCCCTGCACGTGAACGGGAAATGCCTCCCTGCGGCATTATCGGCATTATCAGCCATAGCTCTATCCACAGCTCGATGAACGCCTGCCCAAATCGTCACCATCGTGGTTGCGATTCAATTATCCATAAAGCTTCCCGCGCAAGAGCCAATCTCGCCACTTCATCGCCACGGTTGACGTGCGTTTGGAGCGTGTTGTTCGTTTTGACTGCCGCTCTGCCGCCTTCCTTGATCATTGGCCATTGTCACCCCGTCAGCTGTGTCCTGTCCAAGCTCACTTGGTTTCCTTTAAAATGTGATTCATTTCCTGTGCATGTTCTCTGATCGAGGTGTGTTCATCTTTAAGGTGTTCTCCTTTATCAGAGTTTATTTCGAAGTGTGCAAACCTCTCCATGCTTGTTTGTGCACTGTTAAGAATTTTGTTCCAGTCTCGAGTCAGTGACCATTTTGAAGATCCATATTGTCACGGCTAGAAACATACAATGATTAATAGAAAATAGAAAATACAAAAAAAGTCTGTACGTGACATTACCAAAAGAACCAAGAATATGAATTCCTGCAGTCACGAAAGTTAAGTAAAAATTGACTGATTAATTTCCACTTATATTCCACAGATTTTTTGTTTGTTATCCTATTCATTTTGTGACATGTTGGTTAATCATATCGGTTCACCTTTCGATAATTCCCACGTATTTGTGCCGTTAAGTAGGTGAGCAATTTGTATGTTAACCATTGCCTGTGATTATTCTGGTAATATAGCTAAGCTTTGCCATTAGACCTCTGATACAAATCAAAAGCTGGGGACTTTTATTTAGCAATTCGCATATATGTTGAAACTGCACGGGGTAAGTTGATTAACATCGTATATACAAGTTTGTTAACGTGGTTAAATCAACAGTGGGTTTTGTTTTTCGTTGGTTCAATATACGAGTTTCAATCTTTCGCGTGGTTTAAAACTCACACTATTTACCATATTTGTTTCGTCACTTTAAATCATAACCAAATGTAACAACAAAAATAATAAACGACATTGACAAGAGACATCTCGTGACTTTGCCTTGTTGAACATTGCATATTCGTATAACATAAAAAAAAATCCACAGCTTGGTATAATTATTCACCAAACACCAGAATTCAATCTTATGCAAATATCCGCAGCCCTATTATTGTCATCCACAGGTATAAAACCCCCGGTACATTCTGCTCGTTTTGAATATAGATGCGAAACTAATTTACAAGGCCACATGCACTTTAGGGTAATACGCAGTTTCTGATATTGTTCATTAGCCTCTTGCAATTGTCGTCCAGTCTTTCCCACACCACCACCAGCAGCCACCCCACCCACAACCCCACACAATCTCCCCCCCCCACATCCTCCTCCTCCCCTCGCCGCTCCTGCAGTCACCCGCCCGCCTCGTCTGATTGCCGAGGCGTTTGGACGCCCCTCGCTGTTGTCTGCCCGGGCTCGAGGAAGCCGCGTCCACAGAGGCGCCTGTCAGGAGCTGTCAGAGCTGATGGGCGTGCGGGGGAAATTACCAGCCCCTCTCATTTATACACGGCGCGCCTTAAACCGCCAACCTCAAAATAACACTCGCCAATCAGGTCGCTACAGCGCTACACTAAATGAGATGCTTTCGCATTTGAGGGCGCCGTGCGAGAGAGAAGCTCCCTCGTCACGCTGCTCTGTAAAGCCGCCCCGTCAGTCACATTAACTAACCGCGCCAGCCTTTTATTCCTTCCCGCGCTCCTTATTGCCTTTATTATGCGAACGGCAAAAAAAAACGTTTGCTCCTTTTCGATTGCTGATTTATGAATTATATCTTAGCGATGTGGTACATTTTTTTTTCTTTCTCTCTGTGTTTCCGTCTGCTCATCTCGTTCGGTTCAGTCATCATTCGCGCGTGTCCGGGGGTTTGTTACTCGCTTTGTTTCGTGGGCGCGGGTGCGGAGCAAACGAGCAACGCTCTGCCTCCGCGCGCTCCGTAAAGCAGGCGGGCCCCGCTCGCTGTTGCGACGTTGCTCGCCGGACCGCGCGCCCTGTGATTCCTGGCCGAGGAATCCCAGGGCGCGTGAAACGGCAGAGGCGCAAGGCCCTGCAAATGCCTTTGGCTCGCTCCACACCATCTGCTGGAACGGCCTCGGCCACGGGGAGCTCTCGAGAGCCCGTCGAGGATACTTTGGCCTACTCTTTCCACGCTGGCCCGGACGGACGCGTGAACCGCACCACGCGTGGCAATGCCGAACGAACCACCTCATGCGCGCGAAATATCGCCAACGCTCAAGGAACTCGAGCGGCAATACAACAGCGGAGAATATCGCCCCGGTGATTGAATGCTTCATCGGCAAGGGTTTTTTTTTTTGGTGCCATCACGCACGATGCACGACATTCGCAAACCCGCTGTGCTACGGGGTGGCCAGCAGATGGCAGCACGGAAAATCGGTGCGCTAACCCATCTGGTTCAGACTCGGCAGTCACGACAATGTATAGTTAATCCCTCGTTTAACGCGGTAAACGCGTGCCTGAAAAGTGCCGCGTCAAGCAAGGGATTTACTGAGTTACTGAACCGCGTGTGCACTGTTAACTCGGCCTGCAGTCATCCCACGGCGGAACACAGAACCGAGATGACGATACGCCGACGCGCACTCTTCGATTCCGTGGACTGGGTCGCTGTGCCACTCATCCTCGCAGCTCGAGAGAGTCGTTTGTCATCGACCGCTCAGAAATCGCGTTATAATGGCGCGCGTTTCGCATTCTTCGAAAAGTATTCCCCCAAATATAACAACCCTGTTATCGCGACAACGCATTGTGTAAAAAAAAACAACCTGCTACGCACGGACTCACCACATATATAAACAGTATACATAATACTCTTTGGTTCTTCCGGTAAAGTCACGTAGGTAGAAAAAAAATGACGTTTCGATCGCAACACAAGCAATCGTCATGAGGTAGAAAGATACAGCCGTAGAACTGCCGAAGAAGCTGAACAAGCAGTTCTATGGCTGTATCTTTCTACCTGATGACGATTGCTTGTGTTGCGATCGAAACGCCGTAATTTTTTTTTATTTTTTTACCTATTTGACTTTACCGAAAGTACCAAAGAGTATGGATTCCTGCAGTCACTAAAGCTTCATAATCAAGTATACATAATGAGTGGTGTTTATGGGATGGGCCCTTCTTCGGAGCAGTGAAGAAGATCCATTGCTCAAATAGTCACTGATTCGTGTTTTTTTCTTTCTCTTCAGTGCAGTGTTATTGACGAGTGGGTTTAGTTTCTGTTCGTGTACATGCACCAGCACGATATAGCAATATTGTTATAAGGTGCGATTTTATTCTCTCCGGATACGCCATTTTCCCTCCAACCGTAAAAAACACTAATTTCAAACCAATTGCCCTGACATCCAAAATCAGGACCCTCCTGAAAAAGGGGGTCTTGCGACTCGGTAATATTTTTGGCCGACAAATAGATGGAATCATTGTTAAATAGCTAACCTTTATTAGCATAACCGTATCCCTTGTAGAACACCCCCCCCCCCTTAACCCACTCGCGAGTCTCTTCTGTAATCCTGTCACCCTGTCCCCAATCCTTATCCGGTAATATTCACATTCCATGCCTCATAATCCACTGACCTGTGATATCCTTGGCAAGTGTAGGCCATTGTGCCGGGTTGCAGCCCAAACTCCAAGAAATGTTTAATTATCCACAGCTAATTTATGTAATTATAATGTGTCTTCAATTAATTAGGCACTCCACATTCATCTTGTTAAAAGGGATCATCTCAGCAGACAGATCACCCTTGAAAAAAAACCGAGAATGAATCTCAACGGGCTCTCATTTGCCAAGTATTAAAGGCACCCCCGATGCGCTTCATTGAACAAATAAATGTAATATTAGGTGTAACAATTCCCCATCCACCGCGCTAGCAATTCGATTAATGGTCAACATTCAGAATCACGATTAGATTAAGGATAGATTGTTATTGTATTTTTTTATGAATACAGGTGAATATAGCGGCCACTCAAGCTACACAGGCTCATCTGAATACATGACAACAATTCGCACGAGTTGATATGATGGTTGTATTGTGAGATTAAGAATCAACAATACATTCACGAATTGATGCATTTTTACACCCAATACAAAATATATATAGACGTAGCATAAGCGCAATGTTGCATATATTGAGTGAGAAATGGCACCGCTGGGATATTTATGTTTTGACAATGTTAAGAAAAGTGAGTTGGCTTGGGCAGATCACGTCGCCTATTATTATTATTGTTGTTGTTATTTGTGCTTGTCCACCACTGCAACGGAGTGCCAAACAAACAAGAGCACACATGGCCCGCGAGGACGGCCACCCAAGAGACGGAACAATGAGATCAGCTCGCGGGGCGGGGGGGGTTAGATGGCACGACCGCGAGATATTACAACATCTCGCAAGGATGCCTTCATCCGGCAGTGGATAGATCATGGCTGACGCCGACGACGACGATGATGATGATGATGAAGAAGAATGTCGTGAGAATCGACGCCGTTCTGCTGCGGGTTATCTGTGCGGCCAGATGTGCCCGTCCTCTTCACGGTTAGGGCACGCGAGGGCTGCATCATCCAACATTCACGAGGCGTTCTCACCACACGGGGGGGGTGGGGGTTTCTGGGGGGGGGGGGGCATAACCCCGCGCCCGCTTAGCCCCTGCTTGGCGCGGGCATTGGGAGGACCGGTGGTGAGTGGAGGAGTTGGGGGTGGAGGGATGGGGGTGGGGGGTGGCAAGGCTCCGAGCAGAGTGGACAGCGCAGATGGTTCGCCTCCAAATCCCGGCCGTGGGGAACTCACGGAAGGAAAAGTGCTGATGTGTTTGACAGGTCTCCCAGCCTCCTCAGACTGCCTCCGTCCCAGCCCCCTCCTTTCCCTCTCCCTCCCTCCCTTCCCTGTCTCTCTCACTCTCTCACTCTCTCTCTCTCTCCCCCCTCGCCCTAACCCTCTGCTGGCCGCAAGGTCGGAATACAGATAAGAGCTCCAGTCCCACAGCGAACGGGATTGCAAATAACGCATCAATACCCGCAATCATGCTCTTCCCGACAAGCAGCAGCAGCGGAGTCACACTCACAGCTGCGCACGCTCGCAGCCACTGACGCGAACCGTTTGTTATCTTTCCCCTTCGCATGCGCGCGAGGGTTTTCTCCGGGAATTCCAAGATTCGTGTTACTCTACGCGATGGTGTTTTTGTTGTTGTTCGTTTTGTTTTAATCTTTTAAAATGTGATGGCCTACAGTTCACGTTTGTTTGTTCAACCAGGTGTGAACTCCATGGAGCAGGATTGTTCTGACTGACCAGAGTGCGACCCGGGTTACAAAATTAATACAACGCAATGTAATTTATATTTAAAAAAACACAACGGAACACACAGACAATCCCAGGTGTAATCATCCCCGTGAAGAGAGACTCACAATGTGCACACTGTGTTGGTGACATTGTGTTTGCCAGTGGTGTACAATCATAGATTAATAATAATAATACGTGACGTTCTTGGAGGCAATGGCTCTTCATCACAGCACATAAATCATGAATCATTGATGTGCCCTGTAGAAGGGCCTGTGTTATTGACGAATGTGTTGAGCTTTCCAAGGATGTACAGGGAGTGCGCCAGTGTTGGGCTTTAAGTTGGGTTGAGATGGGTAGATTGCAAATCGGGCCTGTTAAGACTATCGAGGGGCTACAGCATACGACCTGCCCCCCCCCCACCGCAACTTTCAAAAGTTAGGGGCGGTAGCAGATGCACCCCTACCTCTTGTTTCTATATAAACGCAAACACACAAAGATAGACACAGAGACACAACGAGAGACAAGCACAGAGAGAGAGACGCTAAGAAGGACACCCACCTGCGATTCGCACGGTTGGCTATGTACGGTGCTAAAGAAGTTCAACATTGCGTCTATGCCAAGCAGACACTGTGTCTCTGCCTTGCAGAGACACAATATCTAAAAATAGACACAGACACTCAAAGATACAGACAAATGCAATCTCGTGTGGGAGCCCTCTG